TTGTTGGTTGTTGGTTGTTGTTGTTGTTGTTGTGGTGGTGGTGGTGGTGGTGATGGTCGTCGTCGTCGTCGTCGTCGTCGTCGTCGTCGTCGTCGTCGTTAAAGGAAACTAAAATGAATACCGGACCCAATTTGGGGGTTGGAACCTTTTTGAATGAGGTAAGTCTAAACCATCCCCTTGGTGGGGCGAAAGTTTACGGGTATGCGGCAAGCTATGCTTCTTTCGGACGCCAGGCAGACGTCCTTCATCGCAGGCCGGAAACAAGCGGGGGCCTGGTATGCACTCTGGCTCAACATGGATCCCAGAGAGACTCATTGTTTTGGAGGAAATTTCCTTTGGGAGGCCCCTGTTAGCTTGCAGGGGAGCATGCGGCATGCCCCACGATGTTTACCTGTCAGCCTTTTCTAGCTTGGATCATTTGAGCGTCAGTTTTGAATCATCCAAACCCTGAGACCCTACTGCAAACAACCATGAGGAGCCCAACTTGTTTTTCGCACGCCGCCAGTGAGAGATGACCTGCCCTCGTGCTGGAAGGCAACGGAAGACGCGCGGTTTTCTGCCGGCCTGAGGCGAGGGGTGTGGTTACCGCAGCTCAAAACCTGATCTGGGTTGCCTGGGGCAAGTAAACCCACTCACCACGAGCCACTCATGGACCACCCACAGGCCATCCACAAACCGTGCATGGCCACCATTCACAAGCCATCCACAAGCCATGCATGGCTTATGTGAACAAGCATCAACCCGTACGGGTCTGTACCCCTAAAGCCTTCAAGCCACACGTCATATAACTCAGGCATGGCCTTCCTTTAGCCGGTGTACGCCTCAGGGGCCTTGATCATTGTTCAATTTTCCAAGGGCCTGAAAAGCCCGGGGGCCGAAACACACTTTTTTCCCATGTCCCCTGGGGGTGGGTTTCTCGGGTTCTGTTTTGGCCTTGGTTTAGAGGGAAACCAAAAGGAAGAACACCATTTCCGGGATCCGTCACACACCCAACTTGCCCGCAGAGCAAAGGGGGCTTGGAGATCTGAATCGATCCCTCAACGTGCGTTTACCCTTTCGGGCTGTGTTTGGCAAACCAGCATGAAAACCACCAATTTGGGGGGAGGGGGTTCTAGAAAAAGACACACCCAAAAGCGGCACACATGTCATTTTTTCGTACCCGTCCTCAGGCGGCGCGAGCTGCGGGAAGGCAAGCCGAGTCAACTCAGAGTGGCTTACGAGTGGAATTTGGGGGTGGAGCTGGCGTCCAAATTGGACACTTTTGGGAGGATCCTTCTTTCCTTTTCTTTTGGGTGAGCAAGCAACACTCAAAGGCCAACCCAGTCCAATTGGGGACCCAGAAATGGTTGATTCACTTTGGCTCCCCTTCAAACTAGGGGGTGTCCGCAAAGGGTTTTGGTGCGTCCTATCCACTGGGTGCCTGGGTGCACCTGCACTTTGTGGAACGCCGCTGTAGAGTCTTTGCCCAGATTCGGAACGGCGGCCACAGTTCTGGTCTGCCTCCTGGGCTTGTTTTTTGCAGCCTGCCAAGTTGAGCACCCATCTCTATGAACCAGACAACGGGTGTGTGTGGCCTAAAGTTGGAACAACATATTGACCCTCTGGATAGGCTTTTGGAGTGCCAAAGGAAACCAAAAGGAAAAGAGAAGCCAAATCGAAAGAGAAGCGAAATGGCTTCAGCCATTTCGTTCTTTGGACACCAAAGGGAGCCATCCATTAGGCCGTGCATCTATTTTAGGAAACACCTGTACAGCAGTTGCCAAATTGGTTGAAACAAGCGGACGCTAGCGCCTTGAAAGGGGGAACACACTCTGTGTATGGCAAGGTTAACCTTTCTGAAGCCTAAGTTTGAACTGGGGGTTGACCAACGCACGCGGAGCTCCAGCCTCGGCCTTTCCGCCAGGCGCCTGGAGCCTTCGAGATGGTTTGCTCTCTGCGCCAAAGCTGGGGACGAGGCCGTCCTACCTCCAAAAGCGGCGGTTGGTTCGTAGGAAACGTGATTTCATCAACCTTTGGGGCAAAGCCAGGTTCCAAGATGAAAAGGGACACCTTTTTTTTGTTGGTGCATGTAAAAGGGAACCCACCCCAGAAGTCAGCTCACCTGGAAGTTTGTAAGGGACTCCTCAAACAATTGAGATTCCGCAGCGGTTGCTAAGCCATGGCCGCCTCATTCGTCACAGCAGAGGGCTGTTGTACTCAGGAGATGTCTTCTGAGACGGACCAATTTACACGTGTTGCTTGTCCTGCGCGGTTGATCGATTTTCCGCTCTTGTTGAAGTGAACATGCCTTGAACTGTAAAGTTTCAAGCAATGATTCACCAGCTGTGTCGTCGTCACCCAGGCTCCGGAGGTGAAGGAAACAAAACTTGCCCAACGCAGCGGAATAACTGCTGTTCTGGTGTATAGCGACCCAGCGACGACCTTGCAGGAGGGGTGTCCGGCAAACATGATGAAGGTTCCCAGCTTGGGGACTTTGTGTTTCGGGTGTGTGAATTGTAGAAGCTTGCCCAGAGTAGAGTGCAAGGCACGGGGATGTGCAGCTGCACCCCTTTTGGTTGCCTGCAATATCGCCTGCAGCGCGTATTTCCGTAGAACCGTCGCAAGGCACCGACAAGACTTATGCTGATCCATTCCGATCCATTTCAGCGGTGGCGCCTGTTTGCCGCAGTTGGGCAATGCTGAATCCTTCCCTTAAGTGGTTTCCTGCAATCAGATGGCCCTTGGCGGTTTGGAGTGGTTTGGATTTCCACTTCACCCCCTTTGAGGGTCAAATGAGAAGTGACCCCCGAAACGCTAAACCACCAAGCCGCCAAGTGCAGGGAAGCTGAGGTTGCTGTGCAGGCCCACCATTACCCAAATAACCAAAGACCCCCAAGTCCACTTGCCGCCGAAGCAAGAAGGAAAACAAAACTCTGTTTACCTCCAGTGGAAACTTTGGTGCCCCGAGAAAGTGCAGCCTGCGCGCCAGGTGGGCGGATTTCTGCTGCAGGACAACGGGAGTCGTATTTTGTGAGCCTGGGGAGGCTCTCATTGAATGCTTCAGATGAATCCGCAGAACCGCGCAATTTCCTTAAGTGTGGTTCCGAATCCTTTACGTAAGGAAATGATCATTCTTTGCCCGGGGGGGGGGGGGTTCTCTGACTTGTAGGTTCCGGATTGTGTTGGTTTGCGACCGCATCCAGGAAGGTTGTTGTCTCGGGGGTAATGCTGGCCCTAGCTTGTCAACCTCTGCAGAGCCGGTCTCGTCCAGCAGTGGATATCCTCTGGAGCCCATGTCGGTTGAGGGGGGGGGGGGAGCCCCTCCGTTTTCGATGGACACAAACTCAAGGAGTCTCAACCATAGGTGTCCCTTTTGGTTCGATGGGTTCCACTGGCTTGGATTGGTGTATTCCATTTACTAGGGAAACTTATCCATTTTCCCAAAAGCTTCGCCCGAGGAGCCCCTGGGCACTGGGTCCTTCGGCACCACTTGGCAAGCGGCAACCCTCAGATCTGGGAGTGAGAACGAAGAGGGAACCCCCCGTTTGTTTGTTTCTGGTGCCGTTTGTGGGGCGCGTTTCAAACGCAGAAAGCCACCTAAAATGCCAGGTTCAAATGGAACAATGCTCTTGCCGGGTTGATTCACGGTGAAGAGGTAGCCAGGCTTCCTTTGCGTTTTTGACATTCACCGACCCTTTTGCGGCTGCTTTGTTGATTGTAGCTGCCGTTTGGTTTAGAAATCTGCTAGGCGAAAGAGAGGATACATACGGTGCAACTCGATGCCGACCGACTGCTGCTTTCACTGTAGGAGTCTAGTTGTTGTTTTGGGCAGAAGGTTCGAAACACCCAAAACTCGACAAAAACCAGGTCGAAATATCCAATGTTCCCATGTACTCTTGGGGTACAAGGAAGATTGCCTAGTTCCCATAAGCTTGCATGTGCGAAAACGATCCTTCAGCCTTCAACAGTCTTTGAAGCTCCCCGCTTAGAGAGTCATACGAGAGGGCTGAATTGTCAGAGCTCACTGAAGGTGCCTTGGGCCATTGGGCCATTGGGGATACGTTTTTTGGTCAATTCAGCAATGCGGAGATTCGACCGTGGCTCAACAATCCGCTCACGCGCGAAAGCTTAGCGGCACAAGGCAGCCGCCACAGAGCGCTGCGATGAGGCTGGTTTGTTGTCATCCCTTTCAACAACGGTTCATTTGGGAGACGGGGGAAAATGGCTTCCACGCTTTTGGGGCAATTGTTTCCATACCTAGCAACAGTTGAGAACTTTTGCAGAGCCAGTCAATCAGGAGAGCTCGGTTTCGACCGCCGGAGATCTGCATTGTAGTCAACCGAACTTTGTAAGATAATCTCCCGACCCCCCGACCCAGCAGGGAGGATGGGTTATCAAAAATACCCGGGGAAGGGGGGGGAGGAGTGGCTGGTTGGGTTTGCATATTTTGTCTTTGCTTGAAGCCCGACCCCAAAAGGACTCCTGTGTTTGTTTGTTTGTTTGTTTGTTTGTTTGTTTGTTTGTTTGTTTGTTTGTTTGTTTGTTTGCGTGTTTGCGTGTTTGCGTGCAGTCAATTTTTTGTTGTGAGTTGTTCGTTTCTGCGACTCGTGTGGTGCGCGTTTCGCTTTTGTGAGGCCATGGGGCTGAGGGATGGCGAAGTGGTGGCTCTGAAGCTCATCAGGCTGCAGGCGCCCACACTGCCCGAGACGAAAGGCCCCCAAAAGGTGGGGGTTCCTTTGGTTTTTCAAGGGAAATCAAGATGAAAAGGGTACCCCAACAAAAGCCCCTCAATACCTGCCTTTTGTTTTCTCAATTGTTTTCTGGGTGCACTTTCGGACCTGGGCATCCCTTGAGATGCAGCTATTGGATGTGGCATCCCCACCGGAAACAATGTGGGTGGCTCGTTTTTTGTTGTGGCGAACCCTCTTTTGGTTGGGGTTAAAGCGAAGTGAACAGGAAAACCGAAGCCATCTGGGGGGTTCCCGAAGAAACGCCACACCGATATATGTGCTTTTGCAGGGTCAAATCTGGCTTTCGTAAAATGTTCATTGACTAACCCCAGATCAATCGGGAGTTTCGTGAACCAGAGATGCGGCTGAGATGCCGTGTAGGTGTCCGGCAAGTGGGTCAAAGGTCGACATTGGTGTCTCCCAAAAAAAAGCACCCTTGCAAAAAAGAAATCCTTTTGGATTTCTTTAATCGCCCTCAAAGAGGGCTCCCAATTTTGCGGTCAGGACGGCTGGACAATGATGGACAAGCTGGAGAGGGAGGCCTCTGTGCTGCAGAGGCAGGTTAGCAGTTGCCAGTTGCGAAAGTGGGTGGCTTTCTCCTCCCAATGGACGCTGGGAAGATACTGTGGATAGCCCTGCCATCCCTCCCTCAGAGCCCAGCGAAAGTGGCTGCACTGAGCAGTTTAGAGACTTGGTGGGCACTCCCAGTGTCAATTTTTGCAAGCAACTTCAGGCAGGCCTTCTTTTCATGTTTTTTGTGGGCTGCCCGGTTCTTTGGGGCATGCCCACAGGTCAAATCGCAACTTGAGGCTGCGGCATCCGGGGGTCCCTGTGTACCACGGCTCGCTGGTGCACGACCATCCAGGCGGTCAAGATCTAGGCGGATGACGGTGAGAGGTCACCAGACTGGTTCAGTGATGGTCTCCCATTGGTTTTGACAGATGTCGGTTTTAAAGGTGTATCGGGTTTCTTGCGGTAATACAATATCGTCCGGCAATGAAGTCAATCACAAAACAGCCTCCCCGTACTTGGGGGGATTGAGTGACCCCCGGGAATGATCATGCCTCAACGCTTTCATTTGTAGTAGGAATCTTTTGAGGGGCTCCTTTCAGGTTTCATGCGCACAAAGCAACCTTGTGGCAGTGCAACCATGGGGTCTCCCAATTTGTTGGAGGTTTCAAACACGTACCTCAACATGCATGAGACTAGAACCTCATCAACGAATGTTGTGCCAAACTCCTACCCAGGTTGAAAGTGACCTGACGCAAAGATCATCCTCCTAGCTGTTTTGAATGAGATCTCCTCCAAAGTGATGTTGATACCTTTGATAGCACCAAAGAACGGTCACTTTAACCAGTGCCCATAGCAGGTCACACTGCAAAAGGAGGGTCCAACAGGTTGCGCTCGGTTGCAGGTCTAGTCTCCGACATCGTGCGGGGCAAGACGTTGGAAGAGGAGGCGGGGAAACGGGCTCTCCCCATTGACCCTTTAGGGAACTTGTGCGACGGGACTGGAGACTTTTCAAAGACCCATGAGATTGGGGTTCGTCATTTGAACGTCGCCCTCGGGATTTTGATCACACATTCGAGCGGGGATGGGAAACATGGGCAATCTCATCGCAACCTCAGGGGTTTGGTTTCTTTCCTTGGGTGCATTTCTTGTCTCGAAAAATGCTTTGTGTAATTTGCCCATGGTGGACTGAAACGGTACCGAAATGGTACCACCATCTGAGGGATCTGTAGCCACCATGAAAGGTTCTGATGGCACACGGTATGTTCGCCAAAACCCGCAGGACGCGTGAAGAATCCAATGGTGTCTCCTAATGGGGTGGGTAAAGCAGCAGTAGACATCACCCCAAAGAGGGTGCCCTCAAAAACAGGCACCCATGACCATTTCGGGCGCTCGGTGAAAAAAAGGCCGTGGCTCAGGTGAGAAGTGGGCGATGGGTCGGATGCACCCAGCTCACAGCATCGGATTGGGTGAGGGCGGTTGAAGACGTTCAAAGAGCGTCATGGCAAAGAATCTCTGGGGTTTAGCTTCTTCTGCCCCCCTAAACAGTACCTAAAGCAACAACCGGAAAGGCTTTGGGGCGTTTGCTCTGCCCCCACCTGGTTTAGCTCTTTCCCGAGTTCCTCGCAACGCTCTTTCCCGAGTTCCAAACCATAATTGCCGTTATACATTTGAACTTCAATTCTACCTGTGGGCTTGTTAGTGGAGATTCGTTTTGCTGTAAGCCGAGAGGTTTGGGCGGGCGCCCAGGAAAGCGCACATGTTCTGGACCAGTTCAGACTTTGCAGCAGGAATCATAGGATCCCGCCTCCCGCCCCCATGCCCCCGCGCGCCTCGATCTCGCCGAGTAAGACTCCACCTTCAGAGCTTGCAGGAAATCAGCGGGAGAGGGGCAGAATTAAGCCAGAGAGGCAGCGACAGTCCTCCGAAGGGAACGAAGAAATCTCGGGTTTGGCTTGGTTCTTGCGAACCCTCGGTACGGCTGGCCCTAGCTCAAGTGAAGGAAACCTCATGAACATGCCTTGCCTCCAAGCCACAACTTCGAGGCTAATCTATCCACCCACCTGGCCATCATGCCAGTTTCACGGCTCGAGCCTGGTAACGCGTCACAAGGCAGCCACTCCGGAAAATCTCCGGCTCTTGACGGAGACGCTTCTGGATGTCGGGAGCTCGTTGCCAAACGGCTCGCATTTTGGCTTTGGGACTCATGAACCTGCGTACTGTGAACATACGGCTCTTGAGGTAGCCTTGTTTTGCGATGCCCACGGGTTTGTTTAGACAGGTTGCTGTTGATGGCCCCCGCTCCAAATCTCCGCTTGCCAGCGTCCCATTTCTTGTTCCCCATGAGACTTCCACCGTGGCCTTTCGAATACATGAACTGCTCGGCGTTGGCCATACTGTGGATGGACGAAATCCTGCAACACCTCAAAAACCCTGGACTGATGATTCCCCTGTAAATACCAAGGAAGCATGGTTTCCTATGGTTTCATAGTGGAGCAGGATTTCGTCCATCCACAGTACTTTGAGAGGTCCCATGGAACCAGAGTTTCACGGTTTCCGTGAGGTTTGCGTGCACCTGGCCAGCTTCGCGCCTCCCGTAGTGCGCCAATTCGTCGAGTCGCAGAGCAAATCGATTCGGGTAGATTTGTTTTGCACTGGGAGCAACAGTTGTCAATACGGCGGTAGTACCACCCCTTTTGTTGTTTGGCCTCGTTTTGTTTTCTAGGCACCTTTTGATTGTCAGGTGTCTCAAACATTTAGACAGCACCCTGGGTTTTGGGAGGACATTGTCGTTGTTGTTTTTCCGCCCCCCCCCCCCAGGTACACCGGGACATCAAGCCGGCGAACATCCTCTTAGAGGACTCGTTCCGACCCAGCGGATCACTGGGCTGCTGCATCCAATGCCAACCGGTGGGTACAAATGCCTGGAGTTCCCACCAAGGATCAGCCCTGAGCACATTTGGTCGCCGGTTTCAGGTTCAATTTCATCTCTTGGGGGGCGGCAGCCCCTGCTGAGTCAAGCACGGCTCACCTAGGCTATGTGGCGGAGGGGAGCTGTGCAAAAGACAGCCTGGTGAAAGGAATGCTGCAGACAAACATGGAAATGTTTGGGGCACTGTCCCAAAAGGACAGTTTGACCAAAAAGGTCTGTTTTCTTTTCAAAGCTTTATTGTCGGACGTAGCAAGGACCACAGATCTCAAGGTTAGGCATTTCGGCTGGCGCTTGCCTCTGATCTTCCATCGGAGGAACTGTCTTCCAACCTTCTGCCAAGGTCTTCAGACATGTGCCCCGCTTGCTCCAAGGCATAAGCCACGTCCAGCTACTTACGTCTCTGTGGATTGATGACAAAATCCACTTCGCACCAGTTCATATCCGGCTTTTCCTCTTGTTTTCATAGGGTTTCATCCATCCCAACTGGTGCAGGTGTCTGTCTATCGGTCAGCACCAAAGAAAAATGTCTGGCTTGCCTGGGAAATTGGGGTACCTCAGGAGTATTGTAACCGCATACATGAGCCCTCCAACCCCGCTCCCAGTTCCTCACTGCCTCAGGAGGTGCCCGGGAACTCCTCGGAGCGCAGGCGGGCAGAAGATTCTTCCCCGGAGATACCAAACGCGAACACGCGCCCTTTGGAAGGAAAACATAGGAGCCCGAGATTTGGGTTGTAGGTTGTTTGTATATTTCTATTTGTGTTTGCATTTGTATGTGCAGGTGTTTTTGCGTTTGCATATTCATTTTATTTGGTGTGTGTGTGTGTGAGTGTGTGTGTGTGTGTGGCCCCCCTGTTCCTAAGGGGTTCCGCGGTCGTGCCTCTCTTTCTGTATTGGAGTATGCCCACGCCAGCAAACCGACCCCCTTTCTCAGTACCTCGTCGCGGTAGTCATGGGCACTGACGAGTAGCCGCGGTGAGCGAACAGATCGGGAAGGTAAGCTGACGAAACTCCACTTTTCACCTTCCAGTTGCTCGGGGGTGTACATGTCAGTTTTGCCGTCTCATATCAAGTGTGTTTAGGCACTGCGTCCGGGCTTCGGTCAGTGTCTTGATCCCTGTTGTGGGCATCTGTTCCGACTCATGCAATGACATTTTCTACAGACAGTTACCGGACCTTGTCGCTCGTGACGCTTGACTGTTCCAGCTGACCTCCTCCACACAGGCTTGGACTTCCCCCAGACCTTCCGGCACCCCAGACTGTTTCCGTGAACCTTTTCTGTCGGACCAACTGTTTGACAACCCACCAGACCACCCGACACATCAGGTGAGAAATCATGACGCCGTCAGCTTGCTCTTGGCTCGCAATTGTCGGCAACAGATGCCTCGCCCCAACGCAGGTCCGATGTCGAACTCAGCAGGCCCCATGGCCAAGGCATCCAGGAACACTGCCGGCCCTACGCCGCCCAGGTCACCAGTGCACCAGACAGCATCACCGAGCAGGAGTGCGCTTGTGACACCAGTTTCTAGCATATCTTGCGCGGTGTCCAGCATTTCAAGGGCTACCAAACCTACGGTTCCGGCTCCTGCTCCCGGCGACGCATCGGCATCGATCCCTACACTGCATGTCAGTAGCTGGCCCCCTGCCGCACATCCTGGTGAAAGCACGCCCGGCCACACCGATGACTCCAATGACTCCAATGACGCCAACTACCCCAACAGCTTCAACTACAGCATGCCCACCTATGACCACAGCACCGACCCCTATCGCACCGATCCCTACGGCAACCCCATCAGGTCAGATGCTTCCACCGCCCAACCCACCATCCAGGTCACGCCACACAACGGAGGGAGATCGGTCACGTTCCCACAACGCTTCCCCCTACTCCAAGTCAGTGCCCCCACAGCGGCGAGGTCGAGCTCGCTCCAGGACGCCACCACCGATCTCCCGAAGGGACTCAACATCGGACAACTCCATCACGGCAGCATCGGATCTTGCCGTGTCGGCGCTCACAGCAGCCAAGTCCTCATCCCGGGCGCCTACGGCAACTAAAGCCTCATCCCGACGACCGAGAAGCAATCGAGGAGCATGCAACTACGCCCAAATCCGCAGGCGAACCCACCGCTGATCCTGCTTCCCAACCCGGAGTCTGACCCCTGGAGGAACGAACTTCAGGTGCTTGCCGCACCGTATCTCCGCGATGGGATCCCGGTCAATCAGGAGCAGATGGACTATGTGGCCGCTACCTTGAATGCAGCCGGCATACCGTCTCAGCACTCCACTCTGAACTATGCGAAGGTCAACCCGGACCATCACTTTTATAAGATCACCCCGCATTGGTTCATGCTGACCGTCCCCTACCTTGGCGCCACAGTTCGGCTCAAAGAACCGACGAAGACGCGACCCATGCTGCTCTGGACTCACGCATCCAGCATCCAGTGTCGGAGGTACTCGAGGCATCCTGCGGAGCCGACAGATCCATCCTTCCCGGCAGCACTCCTCGGAGTGCCCAGCCTTTTACGCCCAGGGCTGGAAGATCACTGGACACGCCGACTATGACGCTGAAGAAATTGCTCGCACGATGAGCCAGAACTGGAGCATGTCTTTTAACATGGCCCAATTGCTGTTGTTTGGACGCGCTGTCGGCACCTGTCAATTGCTGCATTGAGGCCCTGGATTCCAGTGAACGTCCTGATGTCATCCACTATGTGTCGGGCAAGTGTTGGATGGTGATCCCGGAGGCAAGTGTCGTTGGACGATTACGATCGGGAGGAGAGCAAGCTTGCATTGAGGCCCTGGATTCCTGTCATTCGTCCTGATGTCTGCCCTAGCCTGGTTGAAATCCGGGTGCCGTTTTGACAATGTCTGCTGTCTCGGCAATGTGTGGCGTATCCCTAGCTTTTAACTACTTTTAACCCATTAGCAGTGTTGACGGCAAACTCCCATCTCGTGATGGCTTCTCAGTGGAACTATTCATGGCCGGCGACATCGGCACCCTCCTCCTCTTCGCATCCGGGATCCTCGTATCTTCCATCATGGTCGGTTCCGCAGTCCCAGCAGGAGGTATATTTGAGCTCCAATCGGATGGAACCCTTGCAACATCAACCTCAAGAGGAAGCAGCGCCTCGCGTCAATCCTCCTCGACCCCCACATATGGCCCACCAGTTTCCTCCTCAACCTCCCGGTCAGTTTTACAACTATCACGGTGGTGGAACAAACCACATGCAGACAGGTCTTCGTCCTCCACCACCAGCACCGCCAGTTCAACCTCCAGTTCGGGCACCTCTAGGCCAAGGTGATGCAACGCAGTACACTCAGCCTCGACACTCGCAGCTACTCCCCAGCACCTTCCAATCTACACTCAGCCTCGACACTCGCAGCTACTCCCCAGCACCTTCCAATCTGATGACATCTTCCTCGACAAGACGGAGGTCCGTGGTCTGCAGCTGTACCGTCACGTTCAGCCTACTCAGTGGTCCAGAAGGGTTGGGCTCGCAGGAACAGCTATCCTGGATCTTCCACTGACACGACTTCTTCGAGGAGGAGCAGGAGATCACGCATTACGAGCGCTGTCAAATGGGCGATACAGCACACCAGTCATGGCTCAGACGATAGCCGAGGCAGTCTTATTGACATCCATTCTCAAAGCATTGAGAGGCAGGGAGGTCGACATCGACAGGACAGCTCGCTCTCTCCACGCGGACAATGCGCCAGACAAGCGCAATGAAGCTATGCAGTTTATGGAGCCGCTTGCGCTCAAAATCGTGGATCTCATGGAGTCGTTGCAGCCCGCAAAGCAGGAGAACCTCACTCGCCACTGAATTGGAGCAACAGCGGGAGTGCTACAAGAACAAGGGCATCATTCTTACACCGGATAAGAACTGCCATCCTCGTCACCTTCCAATGCCGTGTCCTGGACCCCCACGCCCGGCCGCTCTGACCAGTCCCTCTACATCAATGCGGCCAACTCAGATGCTCAAGGACCTCCCCTACCAGTTCCATCTCCAGAGGCTGATCCAGCCCCTAAGCGACGACAGGCAAAGAGAAAGACCCCGGAGACTGCCCCGGATATCACGCTAGACTCAGAACTTCTACGTCAAGGAAATCCCAAAGGTCAACAGGTACCACTTCCCACCAGCCTCACGGACAAGGTCTTCAAGGCATGGCTACACGAACGCACGCTGTCCAACCAAGCGACCTACCTTGATCTCATCAAGCAGGAGCTGGCATCCGACACAGTGGAGCAGTTGAAAACCATTGCAGTCAAATGCTGCCAAACACTATGGCATCCCTGAACCCACGTTGGGAGGCGGCTATTTCGCTGGTGAGGTTGCCACCTGGGTCATCTTGATCGACCCCGGCCACACGGTCACCTGGACTCAAGAGCATGCCCTGATCAGCATTTATCAGCCGTCCCTCAGTTGGTCTTACGCCCTGTAAGTTTTGGCTTTTGGTTTGGTTTGGTTCCTTTTGTCTTTTTGCTGCGCTGGTCCCCTAAACGTGGCCTGTTTTGGCTCCTTTTTCTCTGTCGGTCCCCTAAACTTGGCTTTGTGTTTTTGTCCTTTTTCCTGCGCCGGTCCCCTAACCTTGGCCCGCTTTGGTGCTTTGGTCCCCTTGCCTTGCTCCCTAAAACTCGGCCTGTTTTGGATCCCTTTGGTGTTCTTTTGCGTTGGTCCCCTCTTGTCCTGTTTAGGTCCCCTTTGTTTTTCCTGTGTGTTGGCTCTTTTTGCTGGTTCACCGTAAGGCCCCTCCTGGAAACCCTGAACAACCCTAAACAACCCGAACCGCAATCGAGACCAACCTTACGGGCCATCGTCAAGTGACTATATGCATGACTTGGTTGCATTCACCAACCGCAGCAGTTCTCAACATGCCGATGGTCAACAAGCAACTGTCCATGTGGGCCGAGTCCCTAGCCACACTGCTCATGGTTCATCACTATGGCCATCCCACACATGGGCAATTCATTTTATGCTGAGCCAGCACTCAGATGGTGGCATCACTTCGGCAACTATGATGAGTTTGCCACCTGGGTCATCCTGATCGACCCCGACCACACGGTCACCTGGACTCAAGAGCATGCCCTGATCAGCATTTATCAGCCGTCCCTCAATTGGTCTTACGCTCTGTAAGTTTTGGCTTTTGGTTTGGTTTGGTTCCTTTTGTCTTTTTGCTGCGCTGGTCCCCTAAACGTGGCCTGGTTTGGCTCTGTTCGTCTTTTTCCCTGTCGGCTCCCTAAACTTGGCTTTGTGTTTTTGTCCTTTTTCCTGCGCCGGTCCCCTAACCTTGGCCCGCTTTGGTGCTTTGGTCCCCTTGCCTTGCTCCCTAAAACTCGGCCTGTTTTGGATCCCTTTGGTGTTTTTTGCGTTGGTCCCCTCTTGTCCTGTTCAGGTCCCCTTTGTTTTTCCTGTGTGTTGGCTCTTTTTGCTGGTTCCCCGTGGGGCCCCTCCTGGAAACCCTGAACAACCCTAAACAACCCGAACCGCAATCGAGACCAACCTTACGGGCCATCGTCAAGTGACTATATGCATGACCTGGTTGCATGCACTTACAGAACTCAGACGCCGACTACGACGCTTGCACATCCACCCAAACATGTACACCTTCACCCACTTCTCGCAGACCAATGCAGTATGCTGGAAGCAGAGAGTAGAACTTCGCCCTGACCTGCCGCGCTCAGTCAACCCGCAGTCCGATGTATACATCACTACGGCCATCCCACACATGCACTTACAGAACTCAGACGCCGACTACGACGCTGGCACATCCACCCAAACATGTACACCTTCACCCACTTCTCGCAGACCAATGCGGTATACTGGAAGCAGAGAGTAGAACTTCGCCCTGACCTTCCGCGCTCAGTCAACCCGCCATGCTGGATTCGATGAGGTGGAACCACCTGGCCCCGGGATTCTGAATTCGGTCAACTCGGAGGATCTGGCCGACCCTCCACCACCAGTCGACTTTCAGTTACTCCAGCTACACGTGGACTACAAGCACAGCGCAGTGGCTAACCCCAAGTCGTTGTCCTACGGCATCCTCACGGGGGACGCCAACGAGGCTATAGACCCGCGCCCGAAGAGCTCCATGGCGCACGCCTATGCTGGTCAGCTGAGCATCAAGAAGGCCAATATTCCCAGTTCTATCATGGACAAGGGTGGGACCGATCGACGCAGAACAAAGAAGAAGCGATGCCGCGATACATCCTCCGAGAAGACGAATTCCCCGGAACCTCCTGCACGTCCGGCACCTCGCGCTCCAGCGCCAGCTCCGGTCTCTCCTTGCGCGGGCCTGTTCTCCTCTCCTGAATCCCTTCCTGAACCTCCTGCTCGTGCTCACTCCGATGCCGGCAACCCAGGAACTCCCCCGGAAGTACCTCGCGCCTGGACAGAGGAAGATGACCAGCAGCTTTGCAGCCTGAAAGCCAACAACCGGTCCAAGTACTCGTACAAATCGCTGGCCAAGAAGCTCAACCGGTCCATCGCGGATGTCACGCAGCGCTGGAAGAGCCTGGAGCGCCTCAGGAAGGTGAAGGAACAGCATCAGAAGGCAACAATCTTGAACCAATGCACCTGAACCTAGGCGGTGATGCTACATGTCAAAATGACCGCGGGTAATTGAGCATAGGCAGGAGTTCCACAAACGGACTAAATCACCCATCGAGAATCATGATGGAGGCGGCTTTTTTCCCCCCTGCGGGGGGTGTGTGTGTGGCCCCCCTGTTCCTAAGGGGTTCTGCGGTCGTGCCTCTCTTTCTGTATTGGAGTATGCCCATGCCAGCAAACCGACCCCCTTTCTCAGTACCTCGTCGCGGTAGTCATGGGCACTGACGAGTAGCCGCGGTGAGCGAACAGATCGGGAAGGTAAGCTGACGAAACTCCACTTTTCACCTTCCAGTTGCTCGGGGGTGTACATGTCAGTTTTGCCGTCTCATATCAAGTGTGTGTGTGTGTGTGTGCGCGTACGTGCATGGTCTTGGATTTGTATGATGCCGTCTAGACGGCCGGCCGGAACCAAGGTTGGGGTGAAGCTGTTGTCACACAGGGTGCTTGGTCCGGGCATTTTGGTAAAACTAAGGGTATCAACTGATTCTTTGTTGGGCTTTGTCTTGACGTGTATATGATTCTTGACTTGTGCACATGCTGTAGGAGTTGGCTTCAGCTACAGTTGTCGCTCCCAGGTTGCTCACAAGTCACACCCCATTTCAGGGTTTCTGACTTCAGAGCCTGAAACCAGAGAAAAATGACGAGTTTTCACAGGGACCAACCCCAAGAAAGCCCATGCCCCTGAAAGCAAACCACACGCTTTGTTTCTGGAAAGCCTGGTGCTCGTACAAGCTTTCCCAAACCACCGCCAGCTAAAGACGTCCCCAGACATACGAGGGGCCGGTAGGGTTGCGGGTGTCCGTTTCGCAGTGTGAAAGCGGCGCAGGTGGAAGATCTTTCTGGTGGACTTCGGGTCTGCAGTGCTGGGCTCCGGCACCAGGCGCCGCTAGCCCACTTAGTGGAAAACCAGCTTGTTGGGACGTGTCATGCAAAGCAGAGCCAGGAGCAACACATTGAGATGATTTTGCGCTTGCTTGGAGCCTTCAACAGAATCCTCCCCAGCGGCTTCTCCTTTTGTTTGGCCTTCTGACTAGTTGTCAGGTTTTGCACTGCAGGGCTTGTTTTTAAGGTCCTGACATGTGGTGCCACCTTCAACCAGTGTCCAAAAAGGCTGCCATGGTTCTTGACCCCAATGCTGTTTCAACATCTCCAATAGAGTGTTTTCCAAAATCGGGGACCACTAACATGGAATCTGAGCAAGGGATCCTGAAAGACAGGGAGCCTGTGAGTTCCATCACAACGTGGGCAGGAGGGTGACCCCCAAAATGTGTTTGAGTTCGCCTGAAAAGCCCACAGAAAAGGGGCAACTTCAAAGAAAAGACAAGCCACCCAAGTAGCGGAGGTACCCCTCCCCTCCCATTCCCATTCGAAGGACCGCCGCCGGGACCTTCGGCTACATGGCCCCCGAGTCCTTTGGCAACTCCTTCTCTCCAAAGCTCGGGTCCTCAAGGGCCGTAACCCGGGGATCGTGTGCCACCAACTTCAGGAGGTAACAAGTGGTGGGTAACTGGGGTGGTCGTCTCGTTGCCATGGGTATAGCCTACTGAAGTTGGTTGAATACCTGAGTAAGGGAAGGCAAGTTAAGGGACAGTCTCAACTAGAAATAGTTGCGGAGACTCTTGGGTCTACGGTCACTTTCTGTGATACCGTAGGCTGCCATTTTCTTTATCACAGGCACTTTCACGAAATCATCAAAGTTGTGATGGGGAAGGGGCTAGGGGGGGTTGCCTTTGATTCTTGACATGGGTCCCGGGTTTTGATGTGGAAACATTCAATGCTATGATAATGTAGATATATGTATATATGTATATATGTATATATGTAGATATGTATATATGTATATATGTATATGTATACACATGGGCATCCAAAGAGTTCGGGGGGATCAGGTTGGAGGGATGCTGTACAGTCTCAGGTCCTTTCATTTTACAAGTTTCGTGGCGACAAAGGAAGCTCCTGGACAAGCTGAAGGGATTTGTCCATGAGGTTGTTGCAACATGCTTTTCCCTGGGTGCCAAGTTGCCGCCATGTTTCCAATTGTCCAAAAAGGACAACAGGAGATGTGCCTCTCATTTTTCCCAGGCCGCCCTTGCTTGCCCGTTCGAGAAGAGCCTGAGTCCTTGTATCGACGGCTTTGCAACTGGGTGCCAAGATCAGCCGAAGGGACGAAGCAGCAAAGCCTGATATTGAAAGATGCCTTTGCTTGTTCTCAGTGGGAATGAGGGAATCACCTCAGCCAACAATCCTCTTTATTTGTCAACCATTTGAATCGCAGTTGAATCGGTTAGGAGTATTGTTGTGTTCCCAGTTGTTTTCACGAGCCAGAAAGTGCTTTGCAGTGTGGGTTCTTGTTGCACTTCCAGCACGAGGTCGGATTTGTACAGCTGCGGCCTCAATGTGCGCCTGTGTGTGTGTGTGTTGGGTGGTTGGGCCAAAAGACGCCAGCAGGCAACGAACCAGGTGGAGACAGTGGAGTGGAAAAGGAGACGAAATGAAGCCTGCTATTTTGGGACTGGTAAAAGCAAACGCCAAGAAAGGGCTCGGAGATCCCTGACGTTGAAACGAGCCCAATTTGGCCATGCAAGAGCGGATGCGTTTCAGCCAGAACACCGGTCAGTGAAGAGAGGCAAGGGACGGGCCCAAACCAGACTCAGGTCCGGCAAAGACGAGCTCTCCCCCCCTTGTGTGGTGGTTTTAGGCATCACCTTTTGGGCCCGTTGAAGGGTCGAAGGGGTGACCTTGTGGTGACTTTGCTCTTGGGCTGATGTGCAACGGGGTCGCTTCTCGCTTCCGAACGGCTCCCTCTCTGGGCCATAGGCTTGGTGGATGTCTCGTGAGGCGTCGGAGCGACGCTGCTCTTCGCCGCCGCCGGCCTCGAGCAGCGGACGCGGAGTTCAAACGACTCGGCTGGGCCGTGTTTCGGAAAGCGTTTGTGGTATAGTTTGCGGCTTCATGCTGCCATCCAAGTGGACTTCTCCACTTGTGGTGCATTGTCAAGTCGCTTTTCCGACGTGGGATTACTATCACTTGAAGTGGGATTCCTCAAACATCGGAAAGCAGTACCAGACTCCCAACACATTGCAAGTTACATGGCCGAAACATCGGGCGGCGATGGGCCTTTCCCGAGGCCCGGCGCGCTGCCTCAGGAGCGGCTCCAGGCGAGACCGCGACCGCGGACTGACTCCCGGCCGCTTGAGTGCTTAGGGCTGGTTTCATGGTGCCAAGGAGAGACCAAAAGGACCTTAACTTTGGGGGGCCCAAATTTTTGGGAATCCATGCTGATTGTATGGTGTTTGTGCATCTGAAATGGGTTACTTCGAATCCAAATCAACTCGAGGAGGTCCAATCCAGCGTTCACACTCCGGTGGCCGGCTCCTGTTTGAGACAGACCTATTTTTGGCCGACGAAGATCTGAAGATCCGGATGTCAGGGGCATCCAGTCGAGTTGGCGAGTTGATCAAACCTCACAGGTGAAGTTCCAGCAAGCTCTGGTGGGCACCGTCTGGGAGAGGAACGAGCTCTGGCTGGCCAGGATGCTGGAGAGGATGTTGGGACCTCAGCCTTGACTGGTGCTTTGAGTTGGGGATTTGAGCATTTGGGGGTGCTTTTCTGGAGTTCATTGGGACGCCCAACCTAACCATGCCAATCAGGGCAAGTTGATGCGAGTTGGACTCAGGCTGCATTGCTTTCGCCAAACTGCAAGCGGCAAGGGATGGCGAGGTGCTTTGGGCTTGTTGAATTAACCCATGCGGTGACAAGAACAGCCTCTCAATGCAAGGTGTGAGGGACAAGGGGCTGGTTCTGCCAAGTTCACCTCGCTTCGCCTACGCAACACTGTCACTATCACTATCGACATTTGGGTATCGGAGGGTGGGAGGCGCTGCTTTTCCAGTAGAAGCGCGTTGGTGGACGTCTGGTGAAGTTTTTTGCCGCCTTTGAAGGAGAAAGGGGTCCACAATCGCTGTGTCGAGGTCCTCATTGGAGTGGTTCCTCCAACTAAGAACCTTCTTTGGCGTGTGGGACCTTTTGGGGGGTCAAAGTTAGGGGGCTCTTTTTGCATCTTTCAAAGGCGGCCGGCTCCGGTCCCAAAAGGGCCATATTTTGACCTCACAGGCCCCTTGTGCGCTGGTTGGAGGGTAAAATGGGAGGAGCCAAACATCGAGGGTTCCCCTTTGGAACTAACCAAAGTACTTGTTCCCTCCATGGCCACCCGGTTTTGGCATGCCTTTCAACGAGGCTGGCGCCGGCGCCAGAGGATCGGTTTAGCTCCGCGGCAGAGGCCGAGTGTGTTGGGGCGGCGAGGCACATAGTAGGTGACCGTTGCTTTGGTTTGCTCGCACAGACGCAGTCCAAACACGGCCCTTACAAATGGATGGGCTCCTTCTGGTTTCCTCAGCAAAAGGCTGTGCCCAATTTTCGGGTACGTGAGTTTCAGACATGGCGCAGCATTGGCACCATGCACTTCACTGACCTGCGCTTCGACCTTTGGCCGTTTTTGGCCCTCCACTTCTTTGGCCCGTGAGGCCTTGAGCTTTTTGCGCGGCGAGCCGATGGAGGCTGGGGATGCTTTCAACGCGCTCCGTTTGCCCCGTTTGCCCCAGCTTCGAATGGCCCATAGGTCTCCACCGAAGTCACCGTCGAGCCGCCGAGGGGGCCGCGGCCTTTCAGCTCTGACCCGCGGCAGGTGGGACAAGCATTTGTCTTTCCAGGGGTTCCCCATTCGACCTTCCTGTAGAGCCACCTCAAAAAGGGCACCCTCAGAAAAGACACATCCACACGTTTTGCCCCTCGCAAACAGCCGGCAGAACAGCGGCCATGACAAACAAGAGAAACCGCCGGAAATGAGCAAAGCCAGGCCACCGACCAATTGTCCGAAGCAGAACCCCCCCTCGAACCCCCCCTCCCCAAACCGAAAACACGTCCAAAAATTCGTCCCAAGGAAGCACTTGAAAGGGTTGCGCGCGGGCGATTCTCCTTCCCGAGGTCGCAGATCGCTGTGAAGCGCGAGGGCGGAGAGCTCCAGGTGCTGTTCCCTCCGGGCAAGGTGAATGTGGAGCTAGGCGGGTCACAGGGTCCAGAGCAACTGGTTCGAAGAATCGAATACGAGGCCGGGTGGGGTCCAAAAACACGTCCTTTGTGGATTTGAGGATTTTAGTTGCCTCGCTAGGGGGCGAATTTTCGCAGGCATTGCGCAGGTCGATACGCCTTCTTTGCGATATGCAGGGGGCAGGGTGGAAGGGTGCTTTTTCACCTGGCTCCCTGATGATTCCCCTATGATACATGCTCTCTAGCAACAAAACATTTTACCCCCAAATCCAAGCAACACCTCCCAAACCCACCAACTGCAGTTGAATTAGGGCGCCCTTTTCCAACCCCCCTGCTGGCTGCTAAATCGCCGACTCAAACATTGTTTTGTCCGTCCACAAAATGAAATCACCCCCAAACAGAAGCGGTTCCGATTATTTTGTCCATCGGTTTACTTGTTGCAACTCCCCATTTAAAAGGGAAGCTCAAACAAGAAACATTGGATGGACTTGTCAGGCCCTCCACTCAAATGGTTGGTTGTTGGTTGGTTGGGTTGGGTTTGGGTTTGGGTTTGGGTTTGAGTTTGGTTTGTTTTGGTTTGGTTGGCGGAGTCTGGCCCCACTCACCACATGTCCAAGTCGATTCGTTCGCCCCGAAGCCAGTGGAGTGAGGGGCCTTCAGCGTGGCCTGGACCAGCTTCACGGCCTTCTGGACCGCCGGGGTGCTGAGCGCTGGCGCGCCCTTCATGGCGCGGACGCCCAGAGAGGTGTGCAGAGGTGGGGGGTTGGAGGGCTTCGGTGAATCTTCCCTCTTTTGTTTTTTGTTTTTTTTGGGAGGGGATCACTAGTTTTTTGAAGTTCAATGGGTGGGGGAAGGGGGGGAGGGGAGGGTGAAATAACCCACAGGTGTTGGGGCATTCTGCCCTTTTTGCAAGGCATGGTTTTAAATTCAAAAGGCGGTTTCAACATTTGAGCATCGCCTGGGCCAAAGTGAGGTCCCTTTGGGTGGGATGTTTCTGTGCGACACAACTGTTTGGGGAGGGAGGGGAGCGGAGAGAAGGGATGTGGGTTGAGGTACTACCAACCCACGAGTTCCTTCTAGACAATCAAACCAGGAGCCCACGCAGATGGGTGAGTCAGGTTTCATGGAAATGGTAAGAGAAAGTTGAGGGTTCAAAGGTCCATAGCTCAGGTGAGTTAAACAAAAAACCCTCATCCCCGCTCTGTGTTGGGAAGTTTGAGTGGACTTGAAGTCGAGTGAGGCGCTCTTCAGCCTGCCTTTCTGGGCCACGGGTGTGCGGATGCTCAAGGACTTGGCAGTCATGGGCCATGGGCATTCGTCGGGAAGTCGACACACGCGGTCAAGAAGAACCTGGCGAAAGGGCGCGTAGATCCCAAATGAAAGACTCCCTACTGTGGGTGGACAAAATCCATTTCGCGCCAGTTGGGATAAATGAACCCCAATAACTGGGACAAACCGCCAATACTGGTGGGAATGGACGGTCCGGAAGGGGCCCCTGCACTTTTGCGTCGGGTTGAAATGATGTGCAAGGCCAAGGATATTTCAACGGACATACAGGGTTTTCAGCAAACTGTGTGTTTGCAGAAAGGGACACTCATGCACACATCCATGCGTGCAAAAAGCTGCCAGGGCAACACGAGATTTGGCGCACCGGATTTTTGCACGGATTTTGACACTCCGGGAGTAGCTGTTGCGTGGCCGTAGTGAGGCTGAATGCGATTTCACATTGCGAACTGCGTTGCGGCTAATTTTGCCTGAACTTCCAGCGCGCTTCAGCCAAATGCTCTCAGGCCTACTAACCCCCCCCCCAGCGCGACAGTACGAACACGGTCTGACAGTTTCACGGGAACCAGAAGCAAAGAGCCTTGTTTTTATGCCCCCAGAAATGGCTGCTTTCCTTGGGGGGGGGGGGTAAATTGGGAGACCACACGGAAAACTGAAGCCATTTTGGAGGGGTCCCCTAAAACGATGAGACGAGGACACCTTATCGCCTCTGCGCGGAGCGGTGGAGCTCCGTATCTCCAGCGACCGCTGGACGCTGGGCCCGGAGCCTCGGAGTCGGCGACCTCGCACGACCGAATTCACCCCACATGGTGGTTGTGGGGAATAGCCCCCCAACCACCGCAAGTTTCAGGTTGGTGAAATATGGCCATGGTTCAAAACAAAAGGGAACCATTCTGGGATAGGTGCACCACCCATTTTAGTCTATTTTAGCGGGGATTGGGATGTTCACTGGGGGTACGGGATTGTGACCCATGGCCATATTACAATTCACCCACATAATGTAGAGGAAACCACAGCCGAGGAAGGATATTCCGTTCCAATTGCGAACTCCGTTTGCACCATATCGGAGAATCACAGCATGCAGTTTGCATGGAAACCACAGCGTTTGTTGGTTTTACCGGGGAATCGAATCATTCCCTTGGGTTTCAGGGCGGTGCGAAATGGATGTCGCAACCATCCACAGCGGTTGTCCTTTCGATCGGGTAGCTTGGGTAGGCATAGATGAAATCCACTGGTTAAGATTTGTTTTTTTTGGGAGGGGGCTCCCTCTATATCTCGTTTTGCTTGGGCTTGAGACCAGTTCAAATGGTCAACCCGCAAAACGGCTTCCCCTGTTTGTCACAGGGGAACTGTGTGTGCGTGTGTGTGTGTGTGGTTTGATAATCTCTGGTTGGTGCATGGGGGGGGGATGCCTACATCATATGGGACCTTTCGGCAAATACATCCACCAGGTTTATTTCTCGGGGTCGCCACCACATTGTGGGGTCAAGAAGGAAAGGTATGGCTTGGCATGTAGTGGGGTTGAACGCGAGCGGTCCGTCCCCTTGAAATTTCTCACGAGACGAAACCCAAAAGAAGTAAATGGCACAATGGTCATAGTTACCAGGATTATCTCTGTTTGCCTAATATATCTACCTGATATGCTTGAATGTCTTCTGTCTCCATGTTCATGTGACAAACATGGTAAACACAAACAGTGCACAACATATTGATTTGCCTTGGCTCGAAGGAACCTCACTCGCACAGTGCCTTCCGCATGTGCGGCCCGCATGTGCGGTGATGAAGGTGATCGATGAGCGGCCCGCCAGGCTGCGTGGCGAAGTGGGCAAAGCCGGTAATGTCACAAGACCCCTTTATTTGGGGTTTACCTACGGAGACCCCCAGATGGTTTGGTTTTGTTCCAGTTTTGTTTTGAGTTGAACGCCACCCAAAAGCTCCCCACCCAGTTTTAGGAGATGTATGTTAGTGCGGGATTTTTGGCAAACAATGCTGATCCTGGCTTTATGTTGGCCCTTCTTGACCACATGCAAACACTTCCCGCAGAGTCGCCCGGATGCGTGATTGGCAGGGCAAAACACACATGTTGGCGTCACGTTGGCCTAGTGCTAGTGATTATAAGCAGGGTCTTATTTGCTGATTTGGGTTCTTCAACGTGTCAGCGCCGGGCGATTCTGTCGCGACCTCATCTGCTTAAGTGCTCCACGACAATCATAGGGCACATTTTCAATTAGGCTTCTTCCGGCCTCTTGCTGCAAGGCAACTTGTCTATCTTTGTGGCAGGATCTAAATACGGCAAGCGGTGCGCGCACAGCGTGAGCAGCGCGGTTTGGGTCCAGCTGCTTTGTGCAGCAATGAAGGGGGCGCAGGTGCGAGATGTCGTGACTAGCTTGCAGCACACCGCTGCACATTGACAGCAACTTCATTAACAACATCAGTCATAGCAGGAGACCGAGCTCCAAAACAAGTCGCCCCAAGTCCTGCCAGGCTGCGCGTAAGGGGCCAAGCGTTTTGCTACCCTCAAGGTCTGGCGTGGACCGCGGACTGCCAATTGTACGGTCCAGAAAAAAACCAAGGGCAGAACCAGAACAAGGCCTGTCGGCCAGACAGAGCCATGGTGGCCTCATACGTGAATATTGGCACCTTGATGCTGGCAGCGACAGCGCTCCCGTAGCCACAATTGAGTTGCGCAGGGCCACACGCCATTGCCCTAACGTGCAGTATGCCACGCAGCTGCGTGAAGCATCCACACGCAAGTGAGAAGACGAGTGCTTCCAGAGCTGCGAATCACTGACAAACTGGACCTCTTGGAGACGAAGTCTCTGATCAGGACAGAAAGGTTATTAGACACAAGGAACCACAATCCCGAGAGGCAGGAAACAAAAGCTGCCGATTTTAGAAGAAAAACAACTGCAGCAACCTCCCCCCCCCCCAATTTTTGCGGCTTCTCCCTTCAGCCCACCAAAACCCCGCAGGCCACAGGCCCCCGCCAAGCCCAAAGCGGCTGCGGCGGACCTGCTGCGCATCGCGGAGAAGCGGACGCCCCACTGCCGCTTCGCGTGCTGGGCCGTGCTGCGCGACCGGCGCTGTGTGGTGACCTTGGGCTCAGAGGACGCCGGCCACGGTGGCGTTGGGAGCGAGACGAGGTCTCGTCTTTTTTGTTTTTTTGAGTTACGCCTGTTTTGATGGCCCTTCCTGGCTGGTATTAATATCTTATCTCATCATCTTCCCCCATTCCCTTTATCAGCTATTAGATAGGAATTGATAAGAGAAGAGACGAGACAGGGGCTGAGTTGCGCCCGTTTTGGTGGGAAGACACGGACAAAACCAATGCAAGCTTGGAGGGCCCCACCCAAAAAAGACGCGCGGGGCAACCAGGGGACTTTGGAACTGGGAAATGGGCGATCTTGGACTTGGAGGATGTTTTGAGAGTTCCCAACAGATCGAGCCAGCAAAAATACTGGACCTTTTTGGAGTTCAGAAGTTTTCTCAACAGATTGATCCACACACATTTCTTGGGGACCTTTTGGACGTTTTTTCGGAGGACCTGCGGGTCTTTGTGGCGGACCACAAGCCCCCCACGGTCTTCCCCCTGGCGCGGCTCACGGTGCGCCGGGGCCGGCGCCAGCTGGAGCTACGCCGCCGCGGCTGGGCCGCGGAGCTGCTGGCGCGGCGGGTCTGCTGCTGCGAGTTCGGGGACCCTCAGCTGAGAAAACGGCGGGTCTTGGCCGAAAGAGTTCCAGTCCCACCCAACCAAATTGGGAGGGGGGTGCCTCACTTTTGTAGGGGGACCTAACAAAATTGGTGGATGTCCTTTTGGCCAATAAATGGGTTCCCCCCCCCCAAACATGGATTGCGAATTTTAGGGGTGTGTCTTAAAATTGGCAAGGATCAGAAATCCCTGTATTTCCCTTCTTGGCGGTTTTAAGCATCACCTTTTTGGCCCGTGAAAGGTGAGTGTCCCTCGGTTGGGGTGATGTTTTAAGGGGACCTTTGGAGAGTTCGGGGGATCCTCAAGATGGTGGTTTTCCCTTGGCGTCTCCTTTAAACCACCCCCTCATCAAAGTCACACGCTTCTGGTGGTTTCAGGTTTGCAGCTTGTGCTTTCGTTGGTTGAAAAGACCCAGGATGTCCAAAGCACCTTTTTGCTGGGCGTGTTAAAGGGAAACCAAATCGAAAGCAATTTCGCAAACCCAAACGGATTTGCGTTTTCTCATAGGAATCGGAGCCGCAAGATGGGTTGTTTGCTTTCCCATGGGAACGACCCAACAAGGGGCCCACCATTTCGAGAGACACCATGGGTGCTTCTTAGACAGGGTTTTAAGGGTCCCCTTTGTTCCGCCTTTTCTTGGTGTTCTTTGGGTTTCTCAAGCCTAGATGGGTGGAGGAAATGGTTTGGGTTTGTGTCAAAATAGGGAGCCACCCCTCAACTGGGCTTCAATGTCCCTTTGGCCCTCCTTCAGCCAAGCTGCGAAGGGCAAAATCAACACGCAAATTGCTTGAAGGAGACAGCTCCACTCAGGCTTCCAGCTTTTGACATTCAGCCCAAGGGTGGCTGTTTTCCCAATCAAACTCATCGTTTAAGTCTACCTTGTAGTCAATTCCGGAACCCTGGTTCCACTTTCCTGGGGTTCTTTCCGTTCCTTTCCTTTGGGTTTCTGGGTTTCTATTTCTTTCCCTGTTTGCTGTACTCCTTGTCAATGTTGGTTTCTTTTTGGTTTCTTGTGGTTCTCCGTTTTTCCTTTGGTTTCGTTGTGTGAATTTCGTTTTAGGCTTAGTGCGCAGGATCCAAAGGTGTCCCGTTGTTTCCATACAGCTCAGTGAGGGTTTGTAGTTTGAGGTTGTTCACGTTTACCTTTCTACCAATGATTATTTTAAATCTCCCTGTTTTGGGGAAGGGAGTGCCTCTTTGATTTTGCGGGAACGCGATGTCCTTGTTTGTTGTCTTTTCTTTGGTTGGGACTCCCTTTTCTTGCTCCCTTGCAGTACGTTCCTCGTTGGTTTGCCTGTTCAGGGTTGGTGCGTTGTGGGGTTCCTGTTTGTCTTCTTCGCTTCAATTTGCGCTTTTGTTTTAGTAGTTTGGGCCAATTTTTCGGTTTTTGGGGATCTCCCAGCTGTCTTGCAGGCATTTTGCAGGGTTTTGTTGCTTCTGGTGGCTTCTGGCAGCGGTTCTCCACATTTTCGTGGCTTTTGGTGGGTTTTTTGGACCCACCAACACAAGAACCGCCCTGAACCCACTCTACACCAACTTTCAACCTGCCCTACTCCGAGGGCATTCCACCCCCAATCCGAGACTCACCACTAAACCTGCGATTTAACGGTGCAACGTTCTTTGCGAGTCCCCGCATTCTGGGGCACGCCCGCTCGAAGTCTCACCCAGTTTGAGGCTCGGCAGGCGCCTGGCACAAAACCGGCGCCCCACGAAGCAATCGCCGTTTTGTTTGAAGCCCCCCCGAAGCGAGCCGCTGGAGCTCCAAAAGCACGTGGCTCTAGTGCGAATAGAAAAAGGCCAGCGCCAAGAAGGTGCAACAATGACACACTCGCAAAAAATCCAGCAGCTTGAAATCTCCCGCAAATTGCTGATGCGCTAAACCGTGCAGAAACCCCGCGCCCACCCTGAACAGACCTTAAACAAACCCCAACCCCGTCCTAAACCCCGCACTCCCGCAGCCCTAGAACCCACGCTCAATCAATGCTGAGCCAGCCACTGAACAAGCCCCAAACCCTCCCATGAACCCCCCCATAAACAAGCCCTAAGCCCACCTTAAGCCAACCCTAAGCCCACCTTAAGCCAACCCTAAGCCTAAAAAAGTAAAGGCAAAAGCAATACCACGCTGGTGATGTTGGGGGGGTAATTAGTAATGTTGATGGTGCTTACCCGCATGGCGTGTGATTTTGTTAGACACAATTGCAGAATACCGCAGTTTTGGAACCGGGGAGAAAAAATCGAAGTCAACCGCAACTCCCGCATTAAGCGTTTGTGAGTTTGTTTGATGTCCACGATGGGCTTTTTGGAATAGGTGGCCGTTTTATGTTAGTTTGGATAGAAATAGATGGGTTCCCCGGGTTCGGACGGGTTTTGTTCATTCAGGGACCCCCCGTCTATTTCTCCCAAGAAGACGCCTTTGTTTGGAGGGAGCTTCCCGTTTTCTGGGGCCCTTTTGGTTTCCTCTTCACCCAGCAAGTAAGGCCTTGGTGGTCACGATGCGCATGGACCAGGCGCTGATTTTATGTGTTTGGGGAGGAGATGGGCGGGGGAGATGCGCGAGTTCAGTTGTTTACATAAATAATGCTCAAGAAGATATCAGATGTTTGGTTCTATGTATATAGTACTGGCTGTTCTGTCTTGTGAGTGGGATTGATGGATTGTTCATGGAAGGGTTTTGGTCCTGATAGGCTAAGCTAGGAAGTAATTGGTTGCCTAGGTGACGTTCCATGCAAATACGTCGTGCAGGATGCCGCAAGCGGGTGGTAGCCCAGGTTACTGACCACCTTGCGAGGAAGTGGTGAGCCTCGAGATGTCTAAAGGTTTGCAAGGGTTCCATTGTTTGAGGCTCCTTGCGTGTTTTTTGTTGCTGCCAGGGGCGGCTGAAGGGGAAGGGAGGGAACCTCGTCAGAGTGAATTTCTCTTGGGTTGGGGGCACGATGAGCAGGAGCGTGTGAGGATGTTTCCAAAGACTGAGGGAGTTCCAAGAGTTTGTAGGATCGAGACGTGCAATTGTTGGCAGGGGGCATTCCCAAGCAACAGTGCTCATTCTTACCATGGGTTTTGGATGGATTCCTTCGTCATGGGGGGTTTACTGTAATTCTGACTCACATGAAAGCAGTCGTTGAAGGAAGGCCGCGTTGGGAGTTCTGAAATCTCATCCACGGTTTTGAACAGCTCCGGAGTCTTGGCAAAGATCGTTTGCCCAAAGCCAACCTTTTGTGTTTCCCCCAGTTTTGGGGCCACAGGCCAGATTCTTTGAGGATGTCAGCCTTGGAATTGGGTCTGTGTTTTGAATGAAGACCCCAAAAGGCTAAGTTTTGATCGGAGACCCTCGTCGTACTTCCTCTCGTAGGATGGTTTGTGTTGCCATCAGCATTCTGGGGCCATCTTTTGTGTTTCCGACGAACCCCGGCTTGATGGGGCTCGAGCGAGGTGGACGACCTTTGCGGCATTCTCTTCCCTGAGCCGAGCGAGCTCCTCCGAAGCCGCGTGCCGCTGGCGATCTTCCCCTCGGAGGTCGGACGGGGTGTCTTCATTGGGATTGGATGCCATCAGCTGTTTTGAGGTAATTAATTACCCTTCCTCCCACAGACAGAAGGCATTTGTGGGGTACCTGGAAGATCAGTTTCCTTTTCAAGGCATCCCCTGTCAGGTGCCATGTTAGAGGAAGGCAGGGTTGCCGGTTTGGGTTATTGGAAAAGAAGCCGAAGGGACAAAGTTCCCCACTTTGGAAACATCGGTGAAGGCACAATCCAATAGGGAGCCTGTCCGTTTAGGATTGGAGGCCTTGTTCGATTTCCATCATTCGGATCAATTTCAATTCGAGTTGTCATGTTTACAGAATATCCATTAATGCAATCCGCTTCAGCAGTTGCATGTTAGTTTAGCTCTGTGCCAAAATTTGGGATCCCCAAAATAGTTGGCGCACCTCAACCATCATCAAACGAGTCACAATACTTAAAACCAGAAATCGCACGTGGGGTTGGATGGTGTCAGTTATGTCCCCTATGCGTGGTTTCCTTTTGGTGTCCACAAAAACAAGCCACGGAGCAAACCAAGACACACCCATGTGGGAGTGTCCTTTTTTTGAGGCTACCATTTTTTTTGAGATTTTAAAGCGAAAGCAACTCGAAAACCACCCAAAAGGGTTCTATAGAAAGACACATCCAGCGGCTTCTCCAGGTGCTTCACCTCATCGCAGAGTCCCTGGTGCTCCCCACGATCCACGAGCTCATGCGCTGCAGCGGGAAGCTGCGGGAGATTCTGACGGCGGACAACTTCTGGCAGCACTTCTACATCAAGCCGCTCGAGCTGTTGCTTCATTCGCTCTCTTCGTTGGAATCAGACTCCAGGGAGTTCCTTTCTTTTTATAGTTGAGTCTTTCTCCGCTGTTTCCCCCCGGTTTTGCTGGCTTACCAGGGCAGAGCTTCTCACCAAAATGGCAAGGGTTTCCTTTTGGGGTTAAAGCGAACCAACCACTGGTCCTGGGTGGGGCAAAGCCAAAGCCGCCCCTCAGCTCGTTTTTTGAGCCGCCAACACGGCAGACGGAAGCCTTGCGACACTTCAAGGGGACGATTGCCTTCCACTCAAGCTCCATTCAAGTCTTGAGAACTTGAGAACGTTTGTTTTTTATAACATTTTTGTTTTTTAAAACAATCAGTTTTTTTTTTTTGGGGGGGGGGGCGCGGTCAAAAGACAACCCCACGTGACTCGCAGGCTCTTCCCTCAGCAGGTCAGGGAGCAGGTGGAGGAGTTCCCCGACATCGATGGCTGCACCGTGTTGGACCGGGGCCGGGTTCCGAAAGCTCAAGACCGATTCGGGTAGATGATCCGGTCAAGGGACAATCCCATCCATAAAAATCGCTGCGGATATCCGCCTTCTTAATTCTTTACATGATTCTGGGTACACCCTTTTAATACCGGGTTTTGATTGTGACTCACTTGGGTGTGTCTTTTTTTGGGACTCAGACCCCCCCAAAATGGCTGGTTTGCTGTTGGTTTCCCTTCAACACTAAGCCAAAAATGAACCCCTCAAAGAAGACACTCTTTTTCAGGGGCCCCTCCCCCCCAAACAAGAATAGATAAATGGCTGGTTTCCTGTTGGTTTCCCTTTAAAACAACGAGACACCCACTTGCAACCAGAGCGAATCGACCTTTTAACCTGTTGGTTCTCTGGTTTGGGCCATTTTTAGTCAAGGTTCCAAACGGCGAAACCGGTTATTTCCAGGTCCTTCGGCACCTCTTCCAAAACTCTCCTGTCAGCTTCCAGGATTGATGCAAGGGTAGAAAAACTCGTTTAAGCCAAAGGGAATCAACCATTCCGGGTGTTCCCCCATTTGGAGAAGCTGTATTTGCCTCAAGATGTGACACATTCCCTTTTAGGACTCGAAGGTCTTGTTTGAGCCACCTTTTTTGTTGGTCGTACGGAAGAGTCTGAATGCTACGAGCAGCTTTCGATGAGAGATCCCTTTCATCGATTCTGTCAGTTTTCAGCTGCTCAGCACTGGCTGTCCGCCCAAAAGATTAGCCCCTTTGCAAAGTTGCGGTCCCTTCCATGCTAGGCATCGTACCACAGCGGTATGCTCATTAGCATGAGCTCAGAATGGAGCCTGAATGCTCAACTGTCCAATACTTGTCAGATCTTTCTTTCCTGCTGCTTCCTTAGCCCTTTAAACTCCAGCCTCAAACACCCAAAATCACACATCAAACGATGCACCTCTTCAACCTTTGAACCAGGACAAAGTCGCCATCGCCAGTCTGCGCTTTTGCAACGTCTGCTACACGCGCCGGGCAAATCCGGGCTTCTGCGTCTGCGGTGCAAAGATACGAGTCATGGCTTACCAAAGTGGCCCAGGCACCAGGGCTCTACTATAGCGCTTTTGTTGAGACTCATATTGTTGGGCGTTCTCAAACATCCCCCGCAGAATGGGTGCCTTTAGCAGGGATGCCATTGACATTTCACTTCATGAAGAACTGTGTGAACCAGGCCACCAATAGAGTTGTCTAGAATATAAGGTACTACATCCCATTTAGGTGCTTTGGGTTGTCCGATCAATCTTTGAACCGAAGATTCAACAAGTGTGAAGACTTTTTATCTCCAGGCCCTTGCACCACTTCCCTTGAGGTAGCATCTCAAGTAAGCAAGGATAAGGCCTCCCTTAGAACTCAGGATTCAACAAGTTCGTGCACTTCGACATGCGCGCAGCCGAGAAGCTGCGCTTAGGTTTGCACAGACTGAGCACCCACTTCCAAATCAAGGGCTTCGACCTGCAGTCGGCGTGCCTGTGCTTCTCCTCGCCACCCAGACTCCAGCAGCACTTGCTTTGTTTATTTGGCGTCGTGCTTGTTGTTTACTTGTTCCTTGGTGTCTTATTCAGGTAACCCTTAGTTGGTGGTTTGGATTGGTTTGGGGATGTGAGCCCACAGTTCTTGTAAAGGATAAAATGAAAACCACCCGCTCAACCACCAAGCCACCAATCCAAACGACCAATGAGAGCGAAGCTGTTTCTTGGCTTCATTTTTTAATTTCCTTTTGTGCTTCTTTGGTTGGGGATTTTCGGACTTTGACCTGATGTTCTGTAAAAGTGCGGTGACTCCCTCTGAAGTGAGCCACCAATGGAAGTCTTTCACCCTTCAGCTCAGGTCTCCAAATGGTGAGCCTCCTTTTGAACCGCTTGTCAGGGAGACTCAAAAGAGACCCTGAATGACAAGTTCTTTCCTGCAAACAAATTTGACTTGCTGGTTCTCAGCAAAGAATGAGGGAATGACCCCTACAAACCATCCCCTATGGTTTCATCTAGGGGAATCCCTAGGTTCATTCCGAACTCCCTGGGTCTGTCCCTACTGAGCACCAGCAAGTTTTCTGGAAGCAAATTTGAGGTCGCTGATGTTTTGAAAGACGCAAGGTGGTGCTTATGCATTGCCAACTTTTCTTCCTGGAACCTTTCTCCCAGAAGCCGCACGTAGGCGATACCATGGCAACTCCCTGGCCAGCATGTTGCGGCAGACCGCTGCGGTGGGCAGGACCGAGCTTAAACATGGGGTCCAAGCAGGTAGCGTAGGGTTTCCGAGCCACTTCCCTTTCTGGCACCTTCGCGATAGTTTCCATGCAAAGCAACAAAATGATCAACTTGTGAAAGCCACTTTTGTGGTGGCGCGACTCGATCCGGCGCCCGATCCGGCAGGACCCACTTGTTGGTCTGCGAGTCTTTCGCTGGGGACGTCTTCGGGGCCCTGCTGAGCTTCCCGCTCCAGCGCCGCTCCTCTCGGCTCTATGGCTCCTGCAACCGGGCGGCTCTGCTGTGCTTGGCGCATGCCGCGGTTGCTTGTTGCGTGAGTGTTTTTGTTTTTTCAATCCAAACAGGCAGCGAATATATACGTGTAGCATAGTGTAACAGCAGCAAACACACAACCTAGATAGTAGATAAGGACATGAATTATGTCAACGTGGTTAATTACGTACCAGTTTTCAACAAATAGTATGTAGGAAAAGGAAACACAACAGCAAAGCGACAGTCAAAAATGAATGGCAATTGCTAGATGCTGCCAAGAACATATTGGATGTGTAGCAACAGCATGACTGGCAATGCTGCTAATTTTGACAATGAGAGCAGGCACAAGCCCCGACGTATGCCTATGGCACCGATTGGTGCTGGTTAGCTTTCAGCCAAACAAACTGGTAGTGACGATGAACTATGGATAATGATCATGACAATCATCAGGATAGACAGGTGGGCCGATGGAACTTGGCATGCGTTGTTATTCGCGGACATGATTGCGCATGAGTTAGCGCGTGTTTCTGTTTATTCATAAGCAGTAACGACACGCTTGATTTATGCGTGGCGCTTTGTGTTGTAGTAGTATGAGCAACGCCATATACGTTGATGGCATATGCAACAGTATGAGCTATCTACGAAGGTCTTGGGTGATGCTTTGTTTGTTTTGATGTCAGTGTGGTTGCCTTCTTGCGGCTGTTTGTGGTGGGCACCGCCAACCAACATAAGCTTCACGGCTCCCAGGAGGCGCAAGCAGCACCAGCAACGAACAAGATCCACTGACACAGGAAGGTCTACTCACCCAGATCCAGTAGTGGTGGGGTGACAGGGTTTCGCTTACCACTTGAGCTGAATTCAAACTGGTTTTTGAGGTCTTTCTCAGCCATACGCTCGTGTTTGTTTTTTACATGTTCCTTTCGGGCTGATACTGGGTTTGATCATAAGTCACATTACCCTCGTGTCCTTTCTTCCTGGTTGTTCCGGGGACTAATTGGTTGAAGATCGGGTATTGAGCGGCTGTTTGCCTGGTTGTGACATGGATTAGTTGGCTGGCTGCCTTGAAGCCATGTTTTGAGTGTCTTCTTGCCTGGTTGTGGCTCGAACTCCAAGTTACTTGGTCTTTTTATTTTTGGCCCCAAACCAATGGAGCGCCAATCCGGCGAGTCCTTGTAACCTAGTGTTGAGTGTTGGACCTGGTTTTGAGTGGCCCTTTTCAGGTTGGCGTCCCTTTGAATCGCCATGTAGAGTCACCTTTGAGGATGTCATACTAAAATAGACCCAGTTCGAGTTGATTGCTTGTTAAACCCGATGTGTTGTTATTTGCAACTTAATCCAAAGGAAGACATTCCCAAGCGATTTCGAGAAGCTAGAGGAATCAAGTTGATAGGTTCTCGTTTTAGCCGGATTGTGATTGCGATCTCAACCGCTTGAGCCAGGTCTTTCATCCATGCCATCCCATCCCACTCCATCCTATCTGCCAGCTTGAGCTTGTTTTCTCCAGGGAAACCAAAGACAACATCCCATCCATCCTGAGCTCAATTTGGAGTCAGCCATCCCATCCCATCTACTCTAGGTTGTTTTTCTCAAGGGAAACCAATGCAAAAACACATCCTCCATCCTGAGCCCAGTTCGGAGTCAGCCAGAAGGTTTGTTCTCAAGGCTAACCAAAAAAAACATATCTGATCCCTCCGTGAGGTGTTTCTCTTCCACCTCAGCCCGGACAAACCCTTCCGCATCTTTGAGCCGGAGGGCCGGTTCCCGGTGGTGCGGTCCCTGCCGGACGCCTTGGCCATCGGGGGAGCCTCGGAAGTGGCGCCTGGGCCCAAAAAAGCGGAAGGCGGAGCTGCGCACACGCGGCGCTTTTGGGGGAACCACCGTTTCTCGCTTTGGATGCCTTTGGGTTTTAAAGGAAGCAGATCCTCGGAAAGGGATGTGCCAGTCATTTTGGCAACTGCACCAGTTTCGGGATCACGTGCGTCTTTTGGCCACTTTAAGATGAGGTTCCTCTTGGGGTGATGTAGGGGGAAATCACTATAGCAACCTGTCTTTTCTAAAAAAAACATCCAAAGCCTCACCAAAACCACCAACAAATGCTCCAAACCCACCAAACCTACCAAACCTACCAAACGTCCCATGAAACATCGCCCATTCAACATGTGGAACCCACCAGACCTCTCAGCCCCCGCCAAACCCGAAACCCAGCTGTAGCGATCCGATCCCAGGCTCTGTCCCTGAACTGGGACCTCTCCATCGCCGGCTGCGAGCCCTCGGTGCTGTGCCAGGGCGCCACGCTGGCGGCCGCCTCCAAGGTGCCCCTCAGGACCGGACGCGGATCCGCGGATCCGGGGGTCGGCCAGTGCCCGGGCCGGCTCGGTGGTTGGGGCTTTTTTTGGGGACGGGGAGCCCAAGATGGATTCCGTTGTTTTGCGATTGGCTTCCCTGTAAAGTGACGAGAAGAAGGGCAATTTACCTGGAGTCTCTGTCTCCTTTCAAAGAATGAGGTCAGTACCCAAGAGAAAGGGGGCATGACCCCATTTTAAACGGTAATTACTTGTCTTCTTTTGGTAAGAGGATGGGCCAGGATCCAAAGCCCAGGTCCGAGCGGCTCAGCCGTTCGCAGGTCGGTGCTCACCTTCGCAGATGCCTCGGAGGGCGAGGACCGGAGGATCTCGCATCTCACGGCGGACTGGGGCTCCCACCCGGAGGCCTGGTGGCGGGAGGGGGGGGAGGGGGTTCCGCATAAGCCAAAGGGTCAAACGGAGGTCGTTTCAAACAGGTTTGGCGTGGCAAAACAAGGTCCCCGTCAAACGGGGGGGCGGGGGGACAGGGTTTGGATTGCAGTTTCAATTGACAGTGGACAATGGCTGGGTTTTGCGGAGCCCCGCATTCGAGGGTGTATTTTGCAGTCATGGCAATGAAACGTTTTAGGCAAACTTTCTCTGAAAGTGGCGAACGTGGTCATGGCTCAGTCGGAATCAACTGCTTGGTAGGACACAACAAGTTTCCACAGCCATGTTTAAGGTAAATTGGGTGTTAGCTTGCTTCTTTCTGCGATGCAGAGAAAGAAACCCTATCTACAGCGTTGTATCGATTAGTAATGGTTGGATGTCATGATGAAGGTCCTTTCCATACTTGAGGATTTCCATTTCTGATTTGGGCGTGTCTTAAAATAGGGCGCAATAATGTTTGTGGCTTCCCTTTGGTTTTCCTTTTACATGAGCCCAAAAGGGTACCCTCGAAAAAGCACACGCCCAAAATGCGTTGGCCCTGCAAGCTATCTGTGTCTCTTGAATGGTGGATCCCAGATATAACACGCATAAATCCCACAAACCCACAAACCCATGAACCAACCATCAACCAATCACCAACAAAAGGGCGCATCGACCACCGGAGGTGCAGCGGAACTTGGCACGTCAGCTACTGCAGCTGTCGGGCCAGCAGGATCTTAGGCCAGGGACTCACAAAAGAGGGGAGCGACATATGAGCCACTTGCTCAAAATCCGGGGATATGAGGGTAGTAAGAGGCAGTCCCAGCCAGAAATAGTCGCGGATATCCGCCTTCTTACTTCTTGAAGCATGGTTCTGGGTAGACCATTTTATTACCGGGTTTTGATTGTGACTCACATGAACGGGTGCAACTGGATTGGACTCCTTTTGAGGAAAGTAAGGGAAGCAGCACACCATTGGCGGGGTTGGATAGTGGCAGAAGTGGCCCCGGTGGGTGAATTTGGATTGCGCAGCCGGAGCGTATAAACAATGGTTTTGCCTTACTGCTGCAGACTTCTATTGTTTCAACTGGCCTTTGTTGGTTTCCAATCCAAAAGGGACCAGCAAGAAAGATTGTTTCCACGCGCGATGCAACCAACCCTGACAGGCACTACTTTGCGTAGGGCGTTGAGCGGCACCCTCACCAGCTTGAGACGCCGACACGAGCTCCGAACTGCCGCTCCGAAAAATCTGAGGGGCTCGATCCATCCCAAGCTCGCGAGGCCCAGGGGTTTGGATCAAGGCCCTTGGCGGTTTCGAGGTCGCGACACCGATTTCCGAGCCAGCTGTACAGAACAGGGGATGGCCCGAGGCCAATGTACATACCGCAGCACCAGGGCGCTAGAACGCAGGAGGTGCTATTCAAAGCTTTCACTACCGGACCCCTTGGACCATGCCCCTTCAGGGCGAACACACACACACACACAAAAAGTAAATATTAAATATGAGATAAGTCAGGGGTAAGTAAGTAGGCTGGCTTGCTTTGGGGTCTTTAGGGTCTGCGGAAATCTTTGAGCGTTGCTCGTGATGGGGGAAAATCGACTCGGCTGCCTCAAGTGGTATGCGGGTACCTACGGAAACTCCAAGGGTTGACCGATTCTTGCATCATTTGCAGCACCGCAAAAGGAGATGCCCCCAGTGTTGTTGGTTTGCCCATTCTTTGAGGGTCCACTTTTCGAACACAGACTTGGGGGTCATCCCGTGACACAGCTACGAATGGATGGTACAAGACGCCCAGCTTTGCTTTCTGCAGGCCGAGTAGATGGAAAGCTGATCGACCAGGGCAAGACGGCACTTTGCTTAGCTTAGCGAGCTCGCAATTTCGCCTGGAATGGCGGCTTGTCCAGATGGGTACGTGTTTTTGACACCATTCTATGTGCCTTGAAACAATGGGGCGCCGCCCTCTCTTGGAAATGGCAAGGGGGATCGTTTGGGCCCCGACCCCCTTCAAGGTTTTGCCGGCTGACAGGAAGTGCATCAAAACCCGGCAGGATGAGCAGAACCGGGGGCCTGCGCTCATGCCTTGCCCTGGGTGGCCTGTAGCCGTCTTTGTAAACCATGGTCCGTGGCAATGCGTCCACAGATTCCTTGCCAAGGGTGACACTGGTAAGCAACTAGGACAGTTTGACCACGTGGGCAGGCGCAACTCGGTCCCGCAGTAGTGCCCTTTTTCCCCTTTTTTGGGGGAGGGTTCCCCTACTAAAATAGACTACAGAAAAAAGAAATCGGGTACCCTTATGCTAACCTCTCTGGAGGACCTAGCCAACCTGTTGGGAACAGGGCACCCTTTATAACCGGCGGAATGTTGCCTCAGGCTGGCCTTCGTTGCACCTCGCGAGCTGCAGATATGGCCGGCACCACTTTGGTGCGCCCCGGCCGCACGCGTTGGTCTGTGGTTACACCAGGGCCCGTTGGAGAGAGTGCCTTGGACAAATTGTACGTAGATCGCTAGCGGGGGCAACTGGACCCCTCACGGTGTGGTTTCCCTCTGAGAGCTAGACCAAACTCAGCCCAAAACATGGACTCGGAAGGGCCCTGGTGCCGAGCTGTTCCTCGATTGGGGCTCTTGGCGCCACACCTTTAAACTTTAGGGTGAACGCCCGGGCCATGGAAACCATGAGTGAACGAATCAGAAGCTTAGTCCCATGTTCGGGCAAGCAATGTGCAACCGGAAGCCAGACCTCAACCAGACACCAGGTGCCTAGTTTCAGTTTTTGATGAAGCTCACCAGGAACGTCACCCTAACGTGACCCCGCGAAAAACAGCAGGAACAAGTCGTATATGCGGCCCGGACACAACTGCCAATTTCACTTGTCCATTCGTTTTTTTGTTTGTTTGTGCGGAAGCTACATTTGCCATGCTTATGAATTTCCCCCAAGCAAACGCTGTAAACAAATAAAAACAAAAACACACATTAATCTATCTATATAGCCTAATTTTGACATCCCGGCGACAGGATGCAGACCTTCCAATGCAAGGAGGGGGCCTGCACTCCGAACGTACCCTGTTCACGAGAAGAAACCGCAGCCGAAGGTCCTGTACCCAGGGGAATCCCTTCCCAGACTTGGACGAATGTGACTAGAGGGGTTTCCCGATCATCATAGCTACCGTCTTTACATTCATTTGGATTTGGGTCATAGATTGCGAGCTGTCAGAGTTGAGGGCTCTCCCAATTGAATTTCATAACGATTTGTTCTCAAGTCTTTTCTGTCCGTTTGCATTCTCAGGCTGCAGGAAGGAGCAGAGGAGGTACTGGTGCCGCGCGCTTACAGCGACTCATGGAAATGGGTACACGTTTGCGCGTTTTTTGTTTTTCACGGGTACTCTTTTCAGGTTGGTTTTAAAGAGACAGCCAAAAGGAAAACCACCTTCTTATTGGGTCCCCGTATGGGTTTTTGTACTCATCATTGAAGGCGAAATGTTGAGACTTCCTCTTCAGTGGACCCGGAAGACCTGAATGATAACCCAACCAACATCTCAAGTTCATTCTCCCTCGGAATCCATTTGACTCTCGAAAGTAAGCACAGGGAGCTTTGATCAATAATTTGGTTCGGCGCTGTGATTTTTTGGGTATGTCTTGGTTTGAGGACACCCTTTTTGGATGTTTTTTTTCAATGGAAAGGACAACCAGTGTTTCCTTCTTTTGTGTGGGGGTCTTTTAAAAAAGGACACACCCATTTTATGGCACAACTGATGTTGAACTGCGGATGTAGTTCCGCCGACTCTCCGTCGCGGTCGTCCAGCCCAAGCCGTTGCTCGGGTGTTGTGCTTCCGCTCGACGCTTGTCACAGTAGGGTTATTTCCCGATAACTATCACATATAAGAGTAGCATATATATATATCATGTGTACGTGCATGATAAATATGTATATATATATACATGTACATATGATACAGCTTGATGTACGCATATTTTCGGACCATAGGTCGTTTCCCAACAGTGCGTCCTAGGGTGCGCAAACCCCCTCAGGCAGCAGCGCTTGAGCGACGTGGAGGCGGAGTGGCTTCTCGGCGGGCGATTTTGCTCTGTTTCGTTGCGGGTACCCCTAGGTGAAGGGAAGCGAAAGAAAAGCCACTTAGCAAAGGGGTCTATTCCAAAAGGCCATCAACCAAAAGACTCCGTGCCTTTTTCAAGGAATCGGGCCCCCCAAAATGGATCTCGACATAAACATATTATTTTCGGGGCCGGCTATTGTAAGACCCGACAAAACGACGGAGCCGATGGCCAGTCGTCTAATTTGTGAAGGTGGTGCATGGCCCATGGCCCATGACATCAGCATGCGACCAAGTCAAATCCGTATCGGACTGGAGCCTTAGGCATGAGCCCATGTTAGACGGGTGATAAGTATGCGCACTACTTGAACCGGGGACGTTCTATCCGAGGGCCAATGCAAACCAGTCGGGTCTTCTTGATGGTTTTCAGGTCGAAGACTGAGAACAGATGTAACACAACTAGCCCCCTGGCCTATTCGTTTGCTTTTATGGGTGTGATTTCCTCCCCCCCCCCCCTTGTGGGTCCCTCTGGACCAAGCAGCCCGCCTTGCCTTTGTTGCCCACTTGAGGTTGGAGGCCCTGATCTCCGACCAGATTGCCAACCGCTGATGCGCTCACAACAGCGCGCGCTGGTCATTCCAAGGTAGCGGCCACGAGCCCCCCATGCCATGGACTCGCGCAGCAGACTAAGATCCAACACCTTCCATCCAATGGATCCTAGTAGTGGTTTTTCTTCGGGCCCCAGGCAACATGTTCAATTGGGGGGGGGGAGGAAGGGGTATTGACTTCTGGGGGGAAGCGAATACGTTTATCCTAAGGTGGTTGCAAGTAGACTTGTGTCCTCAGGGTTGGGCTGCAGGTTCTCCTAGGAACTAGTTGAGCAACAAAATCAGTTCCTCGGAGTTCTTGCCATAACCCCCACCGCTCCACTGATTCGGTTGTTCCTCGACATATCGCAAGTGAACCGACCCGGGGGAACCTTACAGGGTTTTCCCAGGGCATCCACCGTATCCACAGGATGGTCAGCGTAGGCCCACGAGGGTTAAGAACTGACAAATCAGAGCCGCTGCCTGGCTTAAGCCCTCGAAGCATAGCTGTGGCTGGATACACAAGAACTGAATGTATCACATGACCAACGTTTTGAGAGGGATGGCCAATTGCATCTGCGATTCTAGTCCTTCATTTGAATGGAAGAGGCTCTGCCAGCCGGCGCATTTAGTTTTCCGTATGCGGAATGCATGCGTTTTTTTGTGCCTTGGAGTGGTAGATTGCAGCCCCCCGGCAGTAGTCTTTGACCTTTGCAGGCACAAACAAGCACTGGGAGCTGCAAAGTGGGCAGCAAACAAAACTGTGTGACACATTATGAGCAGAACTCCAACATCCCCCCTTTGAATTCCCCGCAATAGTTTACTTGCTTCACCTCTGGCCAAGCGCATCGAGCCATTGAACGGGTCCCGGATACCCTGGGCAATGGATGGCGCAGGCCGGGGACTCCGGAAACGGACTTGGTGGTTGGTTTTGAAGGAACGAAATCCAATGAACTGTGCTATACTTTGTTCAGAAGGGGTCGTGAGAGACCAGGTTGGTAGAACCACAAGTTAATGGATTTGAGGCGCTCATTTGGTATCAATTTGGAGGCGACGCAGGTTGTTTCGAACAGACGCTCATGTGTGCTTGTGTTGTTCAAATGTGAACCAGCAGAAGCAAGGCAAGAATGTCCTGGTGAGTAATACCTGGAGCTGCTTTACTGGAGCACGCGGTTCTGCAAGAATTCGAAGAAGTAGTGAAATTGAGGTTTGTGCGGGGGACGTTTCTTCTTTCACATGTTCTGCTGCGACCTTGTTGGGCCTACTTTCGGTAGTCAATGATGCTGGCGATGCTCGCGATGCTGGCAGGTGGGCTTGTGAAGCATGGTGATGCGGTGATGCCGGCAGTGATGCGGGCATTTGGTGATGCTGTCCCTTTTCTACCGGTGAGCTCTGCGAGATCTGACAGCAATTGCACATGGATTGGACAAGGGGGACAAGGGGTAGGGAAGACCACCCTTAGATGTTTGTAAACTCAGTGTTATTTCCTGGCTCTAGCAAGGTAAATGCACCTGCCCACGGTTACCTGTCTCGGAAAGGTTGTCTCTTGAAGCCATCTTTCAAGACACTTTCTATTTGATATTGGGAAGCACCCTAATATATTTGAGCAACAGACAATGCTCCCCTCATTTACTGTAGTAAATCCGGTGACATTGAGGGGAGACGCCAGATCAGAAAGCGAAGGCTACTCACTTTAGTTGGGCACACCCCAGCCAAAGAATGCTTTGTTGCAGATCAATCAGTTTTGTCCACGTGAATCGCCCCATTGGCCGTAAAGCGGCCGAGCGATCCACCCGATCCGCCCTCCAGGAAGGCCTGCACATTTGTGGGAGATGGACTGGTCTGCGGCTCAGGGCGGTTATCAACTCAGGGCAAAGGATGTACTAACTTTACAAACATGTATGCAATGCGTGTATATATATACACATATGATTGTCACATATGTTCTATATATATATATATATACATATGTAGATAAATAAGCAATCAATCTCAGCCAACTCTGGGCTTGGCTGGAGGCTTTTGTTGCAGGAGTTTGATTGAAGTTGTGGTGGATTTGGGCACAGGGGCCAACGCTGTATGTGCCCATTTCAAGAAATTGGAGCTTCATTGAAAAATCAGTGGAATTTCATACGTCAAGCCTTGGAATTTCGTGAATAATTTCGTGGAATGGCCACCCAAGGCATGCAATCCACTTTGTTTCAGGACAACATGGTTCGACAACCCTGCGAGTTTAGTTGGAGTGTTGGGGAAATTGACAGGTTCTCTGTGAGTATCGGATATACATATATATATATATATGTACATATATATATATATATGCACGTATTTATTTATTTATTTATTTATTTTTTAATTTATTTATTTTTTAATTTATTTATGTGTTTATTGACTTATTCATACAGCCTTTTGAGACAGACCCGTAGCAAAAGAGTACCCACACAAAGCAGAGACACACGTGTTTTCCGCTTTTCACTTCGCAAGGCAAAGAGAAGACCATCAGCATATCCTTGCAAGGACCAGAGAGCATCCGCGTGCCTGCGAGTCATGCGGAATGGGGAGCCCGCACAGCATGTCATGATGTAAAGTTGAGAAACAAACGAACCACAAACATTGCCCGGGTTCCCTGGCTTCCTACTGCTTGCAAGGTGGTGGTCTACTTGCGTTTGTTCTTTGAAACCAGGCCAAGAGGGCTTTTTTCAGAGCAGGGTTGCTCACCCAAGACGTGGGAAGCACAACATCCCCCAGGGAAAACAATCCAGCTTTACTTGTGGTGTGGCGATTTTCTTGGGTTATGAGCGAGTCGATCAAGCCCTCAGGAGACCAGCTGCGGCTTCAGATTGGTGCCTCGCCGTTCCTGCAGGCAGGGACGCGCGGTGGTCAAAGCTGATGTTTTTGGCCCTTCGTTGAGGCAACGCGTGGATTTGGGTTGAAACCCCTAGTTTGTCAGCTAGACCAACACCCCAAGCAGTAAATCCCAAAACGCGGGGTGGGTTTGGGATCCCCAAAACACCAGGGGTATTTCCATTGCCAAAACACCAGGGGTGTTTCCATTCGACAGGTGGCACCAGTGTCGAGTGAAGAGGCGGACCGGGCGATGAAGTGACTTGGGTGGGACTCGCGGCTACCTGTCCAAAGCTACTTTGCCAAGAGACCCCGCTTTTCCCTTCCACGTGTCTTGAACATCACATGTTGGGCCTTTTGCTATTGGGCGTCCTGTGTTCTGTGTTGGACGGCTGCATGCAGCAACCCGGCTCCACGTGAGCTCAACCCCTCCTGAACATGGCAGGTACCCGGCAAACCATCCCCCCATTTTCGTGTGCCTGCAGTGGCTATGAGAAATAGGTGTACCAGTCCCGGGAGGTCGCTGCCAGACAAGTATGCCTGTGTTTTTTCTCTGACTCAAAGGGACCTAATTGTTTTTCTCCTTTTTTTCGACTCGGCTCGTTGTGAAAGGAAGCAGACTCGGTGACCTGCCCGTTTCAAGGGTCCCCGGCCGTTGGGACTCGCGGACTGGCAGGCCTGGCCGAAGCGATGGTCGGTGGTCAATCAGGCCAACGCAAAGGACCGGCCCATGGGAATGGGAATCTCGGCCCATGGGAATGGGAATCTGCACGGAATCCCAGCTTGAGCCGCGCGTTTTCGGTGGCCGGCTTTTGTGACACGGCGAAGAACCTGAGATTTGTGGAAGAGGACACTCATCCCATTCATGTGATAGAGTCGTCAAGCAGAATCAGCACACAGAACGATTCTTCACAAGCAGACTTGATGCTTTTGTCTCCGCAACCGGATCGGCTATTGCTGATTGCTTTTCCATGCCGTCGACAGAGTGACTTTGTTTCCATCAGAGTGAACTGATGTTCTTGCTAGGGGCACTTTGCTTGGTCGTTTGTGCAAAAGCGGGCTGTGGGTAGGTGTGCGCCGATTGCATTCAGGAGTTACTGGGTGAGGGCGGCCGGTTGGCAATGACCATCCCTTCTTTCATCCCTTCTTACTAGTACCACCCGGCTTTTCCTATGGGAATGCCTTGATTGACTTGTCTGGAGAACGTCCATCGCAACCCCATTTTTGCGAAGGGGACCCTTCCCTTTGGAGAGATGGATCTGCCGAGCCACGATGCGCCACGTCAGCTGTCCGTATCCATGGGATGGGGGTCAACTAAACACCACCAGACCACATCCTCAACAAGGCTATGGTTGTGGAGTTTGCGGATTTTACGCTTAGCTTGGCCAACTTGGTGTCCTTCAACCAGGTTGTTTTGAAGGCATCCCATGACTACACGGAAGGACCAACGCTTCAACAGAGATGCAAACAAATCTGCCACACTTCAGTCACTGCAGCAAAAGCAAACCAGAATGGGGTGCCCAGATGTCTTTACCTGAACTTGGCAATTGAATGTACACAATTGCTGAGCCCTTATGAGGAAAGGTTATAGTTCCTTTTCTGAAAATGATTCTACATTAAACAGGACTCCCATGATTAAGGACTAAACTTTAAAGCATGGGAGCACAAACCGTGGAGCCATTATTTCGATGAGCGCCTCAGGATGGATGAGTATGTTATTCAATCGATGATCGATCGCTTATTGGCAAGCTGTGGCGCTCGAGCGTCCGAAATCGCAACATGTCTTATCTACAATCGACTAATGGGTAGATGAAGAATTTGGGGGGGTTCAAGCTTGAATACATGCTCGAATATGACACACTGCATCTCTAGGGTTCGTCACTTTTAGACCTGGAATCGGACACACAACCTCGTTCGGGCCACATGCATTTGCAGCAAACTGGAAGCCGCGGAAGTGATGGATTCCCTTAGAAGTCTTTTGAACACCTGCCTCACAACCGGTTACCACCCCCCAAAAGTCCTGAAAAACCAAAATCGCATATCATGTCTACCAAGGGGTCCAAACATGACCAACCCACGGAGAAGCTCCTTCAACGCCAGGAGGAGCCATTTCAGCTAGAGCTGGGCTCTGCAGAATCCGCCACCATGTGGTTGAGGCGTGCCTGAAGCGAGACAGGAGCAATTGCATTGGAGACTCCGCTGATGTGACTCAAGTGACTGCAGTGCCTTAGATGATGCTGATGCTAGTGGCGTTGCGGTCCGTTCCGGACACACGGTTTTTCCGCTCGGCCACGTGTATCTATTTCGGTCGCGGCAGGCACGGGGCCAGCTCCGAGGAGCTGACGCGGGCGGGGGCGCCTGCCAGGCGCGGCTGAGAAGAGCTTAGAATGCCATCTCTGCCATGAAGAGAGATGACACGAGGCTCTTTTGGGTCTGGTTGGACAGATGGCTTTCAATTTGGTCAGCTCGTTGGCCAGTGTGATTTGCTTGATTGTTCAGCAGGAAACCTAGGCACCAAGATGACTTTGTATCCACTTGTTCCATTTCTTTTCTTTTGATGGAAGCTGGGAACTGCCTTAGCAAGCAAGCCAGCGAGTAAGCAAGCCAGCAAGCCAAGCCAGCAAGCCAAGCCAGCAAGCCAGCAAGCCAGCAAGCAAGCCAAGCCAGCAAGCCAAGAAACTGCGATCAGGCTGCAACACATGCGAGGTGACAGTCTCAGTGAGTTGGTTGGCGCGAGCGATCGCCAGGTCAGAGGAGCCAGAGGCGCGCAAGGGCGCTCGCAATGAGCACGGTGGCAGCATTCCATTTTTTTCTTGGTAGACTTCACCCAGGGTGGTTGTCCCAAAAAGTAGGCTCAACCCCCGGCGCGTTTTTTTTTTTTTTGGCAAAAGGGAGCCCCGTTGGATGCAAACAAAATCCACCATGGCGCAATCAAACACGGAACGACAGGTTCCGGGAGCATTTAAATCAAACCAGCCTTCCCAGAGGAATCTTGCTTTGGGCGTTGCAAGGGCCCAACTACCCAGAAAGTCGGACTCCGATCCAGACCCCACGACATCTTGAGGTGGGCGCCTGTCATTGGGTCTATGTTTGGTCCCCTTGAATATTAGTATCTTCCTCCATCTCCCAACGAGCTTCATCAATTCCCACGTGCCCACGACGAGCGCGGGAAAACGGATGCGAAGGGCCGCGGCCTGGACAGCCTGTCAAAACACCAGGGATGGCAAAAGCAGTCCTTCACAAAAAGCTTGGGTTGGGGAAACCATGCCTAGCACACCTTTTTCTTGGGCAGAGTCCTTTGAATGCCCTGGTTAGGTTGTGACTCAGCTGGGCTGGGCCAGGAAGGGGCGTGGCTGTGCCACCAGCCTGCATCGTTTCTTGGTGATTCGCAGGGTTGGCGCTATGTCTGGCCAATCATCTCTCACCACAGGGTGAATAGGTGTTGGATTGGACACTTTTCTTTGGTCTATGTTGCTGGCCTAGTGCTGCTGAGCGATTATGCCGACCCGTGGTGTTTGCACTGCCCACCTCCATACATTCCCCGAATTTAGAGGGCGGCGACGGATGCTTGTGGAGGGGCCCCCCGCTTTTCATCCATCCGTCCGTCCATCCCTTGTGGGTTGGGGTAGCTCCCATGGCGGGCTCACAGACCTGTTATAGGGAATCACGTTTGGGCGGCCGGCGGCCGAGAGTTTGTGCTTGGCGGCCGATCCCCTGCGCCATCCTCCAACTGCCGAACTTGTGTTGGGTTAAGGGTGGTCGTTTTTAGACTGGATATGGTCCGAGATTAAAGAGAGGGGCTACGCTCATTCACCAAGATGCCATTTTGGTAGCCATGGCCACCATATATGGCCTCACTTGATAGATAAGGCCGAGCCGACCCCAAAGAAGGGTTCGACCAAAGGACCACAGCGCTAGGTCATTCGGTCTCGCTCGCGCTCCAGATCGCGGTCGGCCGGAGGCAGGGTGCTGTAAAGTCCTCCCCGACAGAACCCCGGGAACTGCTTTCCACTGGGGCAAAACGTTTGAACTCTGAAATTGTGGCAAGACTGCTTTAAACTGGGGCCAAGTTCAACTTTGGCTCTCGATTTCGAGAAGATGGATCAGTCGGTCCCAACAATTTGGACCCAGTAAATGCTGTTGGAGCAGCGCCCAAAGCCCTGATTCGCGAATCGTCTAACAATTGCTACGTTATTCTGCTGACTTGCGTTTTGGGCGCTGCTCACTTGGTTTCCTTCGCGTGTCCTTCCAGCGCAGCCAACAGGGTCCTGACGTTCAGCACGTTCGGTGTTTCCCATAGGGTTGCCCAGGCTTGGGAAGCCGGACCAAGTGTACTCATGCGTTGCGAATAGTTCCCCCAAACTGGTCGATTTAGTTTTGCACCAACAGCGATTTAGGATTCGGCTTGGGGAAGCTTCACTGCAATGCCGTTGCAGTGAAAAGGAAGGGTTCGATATAACTCACTAAGACTATACCTCAATGATCCCAACCAACACCAGATCGGCTTCCAATCCCCTCCCACCACAGAAAATGTGAGGTGATCACTCTTTCTGGGGGGAGTGCTTTGCATCCGGGGGGATTCATGGTTGGGAGCGTGTGATGCATGCTTCAGGCGCAGCTGGCGACTTCTGGGTGTGCCATATGCTTGGAGAGAGAAGGGTCGACTGCCTTGTGTTCTGAAGATTGGTAGTCATAGGCTCTTCGATCTGGATTCGACATGTCTTGGAATGCCCTGGAATGCTTTTGAATGGCTTCGAGCGGCCTTTTAATGGCTTGGAATAGATTGGTTGCCATCCTGCTTTCGTGTACCTAGAGTAGACGCGTACACTGGCCATACTCATTTGGGTGATCGGAGCCCAACCATAATAAGCTGCGGCCAGAAGCTGATGTGGGCGTGTCGTTTTTTTGGGTACCCAATGTTGGTGGTTTTCGAGAAAAACCAAAAGGACAACCGAAATCTATTTTGGGGGGTCCCCTCCATTCAAAAGACACACACACACACACATGTGACTCCTTGCCAGAAGCGTTGGGTATGTTTTGATCGATCCTGGGCTAATGTGTGGCCCACATGATTTCTGCCCAAGGAGGGAGGCTCTGTTCGGCTTGCTTGTTGTGTGTCCGTCAGTGGCAGTTGATGTCGCTTGGTCCAGCTTTGATTTGGGTTAGGCCCGCCCGTTGCTTCCCTTGTTGATACCCGATAATGATGTGGATACACAAATATTAAGCATGAATCTGCATATATGCATG